CAATCTCTTACAGTCTGCTCTGTAGCCACAATCCACATCCCTTCCACATACAAAACACATTCACCTTCTCCCAAGAAACCAGAAGCGTCTCATACCATTGTGACTTCAGGTGCAGGCTTGAGGGTCCAAATCTCATCATCGAAATGCTCTTCAGGTGTGGTTCCTCAAGTACAGCATATCGAGTATCATCATTTTTGATACCCAAAGGCCTATGAACTCAAGGGATAACTATTGCCCCTTTCCTTTCTTACACAACACATCATGGTGGACAGGCCTAGCATAACTGCAAGAGACATGCTTTCAAAAAAGGGGGAATGGAGAGCTCATAGTAGTCTCTGGTACATAGCAGTTCTGAAATCCAGGCAGGTATGTCTTGAAAGTTCCTTGATTAGGGCTCAGTCCTAATCTCTGAGGGTTGTTCTCCACGGCTCTTGGCTCTGTCTTTTGTGTTCTTGTTTCCACCCTCTGAGCTAGCCTCCCTTTGTTTTTGTAAGGAAGATCGGCCATGAGCTAATATCTGTTGCCAATCTTCCTCTTTTTGCTTGAGAAAGACTGTCCCTGAGTTAACATCTGTGCCAGTCTTCCTCTATTTTGTATGTGGGACGCTGCCACAGCATGGCTTGACGAACAGTGTGTAGGTCTGCACCCAGGATCTGAAGCCACAAACCCTGGGCTGCCCAAGCTGAGTGTGTGAACTTAACAACCATGCCACTGGGCCAAACCCTAGCCTTCCTTTTTCATAAAAAAAGTATCTATGTTTATAGTTTTCTCTGTCTACTGCCTGCCCATAAAAGTTTAGGAGTACAAAAACTTCTTTTCATTTTTTACTGTCTCTTTCAGTCTAAGCGGATACAATTCTTTAAAAAACCTTATAGGTTTCTTATATATCAATTTATAAAATCCACTCCATTAGAAGGGGCTCATTGTGAGACTGCTAGGGAACAACACCCTTAATGGTCTTGGAAGCCTATTGTTTAATGAAGAGGTGTCGAAAGGCAAGTCTTAGAAAAAGGTCTTTTGTTTGTTCGAAAAGGTCTAAAAGCACTGTCTTGGATCTTTCTGAGGTCCTAACCAAGGATCTTCACCAGCCCTGGCTCCTTTATATGTAACCGTTTGCTCTTTAGTTCATCTCTTTCCTCTCACATTTTGCCATGGGCAGCAAGAAGTCAGGAGGTGCTTTTCATATTCCACCTAGACATCGCTTTGGCAAGGTGACCGGTTTAAGTACATTTCCTATTTTCCATGTTACTGTGGCATTAGTGTTGCCAGACTTTCCACTACTACATAACAAGGGTCCCCTTTTCTCCTGCTTCCGATTGCATTTCCCTTACTGTCTTTTAGCCCTCACCAAAAGCATCCTTGAGACCCTTTAACATTCTGCTAACACTCCTCCTCAAGGCCCTGTGGATTCATGTTTGTCAATTTAACTATCTTCAAGGTCCTTCCAGCATGCGCCACCTGGTTTAGATTTATTTTTTTTTGGTATTTCTATTTTCAGATACCAAAATCTGTTTGTTGCTAATGGTATGTGACAAATCACCCCAAGTTAGTGGCTTAAAACAATTATTATATTATCTCTCATGGTTGTTGTAAGCTAGGAGTTCCGGAATGACAGCGGCCAGTTCTGGCTTGGGAACTGTCCTGCAGTTGCAGTGAGATGGGGAATAGAGGGGTGCTGGAGCAGCTGAGGGATGGCTGGGCATCTCTCTCTTCATGTAGTCTCAGGGCTTCTCTGTGCGGTATCCCCACATGGGCTAGTTTCGTTTAGGCTTCCTCACTAGGTTGCTTCCATGGTGGCACAGTGATTCAGCGTGAATATTCCAGAGATCAAGGTGGGACTTCTATTTCTTTTCATTGCCTTTTCTGACTTAGCCTTAGAAGTTACAGTGTCATTTCCACTGCAGTCTGTCAATAATAAGTGAGATACAAATACGCCTAGATTAAGAAGGGAATGAGACCTGCAAGGCAAGGTTCTGGAAGAACACGGGAAGCATCTATTGTGGTCACCTTTAGAAAATATAATCCACCACAGGGAATGAAGAATGGAGGTAAAAGGAATTAAGTACTCATGGACCAGTGACGAAGGTGAGTCATGAACTGAAGGCTATGTTTAACGTGACTCTGCAATTGAGTTCCATTCAAACACACACTCGTGCCTTAGCAATAGGCATCCTCAGTCCTCAATATTCCAACCAGTCACGGTGGTTCCTTCGGAAAGGACCAACTATAGGCTTCCTCCAATCATTCAAGTCGGCCTGAGTTCTATGGGTTCCAGCTTACACTCAGTTGCTATTTTAATTACCATGTTAATTAGCTGTTTAATTCCTGCTGTTGTTCTGAAAGTAAAAAGGCCATTAAATGTCTTACTTTTTTTCTAGCCTGAACTCTTTCTGCATTTAGAAGTCCTAAGTTTCCATATTTCCTCTCTTTCTTATTTCTTGAATAACTAAACTATTTTTAAAAGAGAATCATATTGCTCTAAGTCTTCATCTTTCCTGTAATTCTCTCATTCAGGATCACGTCTCTAGATGAGTAACATAAACTGCTTTCTTAAGAGGCCAGATGCTTTTTTCCTCCCCACAGTTGGAAACCATGTTAAAATGTAAAACACACGCTTCAACAGACGTCTTTGGAGAGCCTTACAGCAAAGGATGTGTAGGGGTAGAGTGAGAAATTGAGTCAATTAGCACTTCTAAATAAAATGACACACTATTCTCTCAGGTCCTTTCTTGTAAGCAATGAGGTTTCCTAAATACTTTGGGCATGCAATTTGGGTTTTTCCCAGCATTTTACGGGCGAAATATAGATCTCTAGACCCTCAAGTCGTGTTACTGTTTTCCAAGTTCTTACATTTACCAGTGTAGTTACCCAGCAAATACCTGATTGGTGGTTATCTCAAATGTTGCATGCTCAGCTCAAAGCTTCTCTGCTTCTCCCCCACTAGCCATCCATCTGTCGGCTCCACCTCTGCATCTTCCCTATCTCTGTGAATGGCACCACCATCCACCCAGCTTTTTAAGCCCCAGGCCAATTATCCTTGATGCTTCTCTCACAGCTCCACAGTGTTCTCATCATTAAGTCCACTGCCTCTAGATTTCAAATCTGAATGCTTCTATTGCCACCACTTTAGTCCAAGTCACCATGACCTCTTACCTGGATCACTGCAAAGGCCTCCAAATTGCTTGCTCTTTCCACGTTTGATCTACTCTAATCCTAATCCATTCACGCAGGAGCCAGAGGGATTCTTTGAAAACGCTTACCAGACCACGTCTGAACACCTGCTTGGGACCTCAGATGATCTCGCTCCTGTCTACCTCTGAATCTCACGCCCTAGCCACCCCCTTTGCTCACAAAGCTCTATTCCTGGACATGAAGCTCCTTCTCACCTTAAGGGCGATGCACGCGTTTCCTCTGCTTGAAGCTGTTGCCCTGGATCTTCCGATAGCTCATTCTCTCACTTGTTTCAGGCCTCTGCTTCAATATCACCTTCTGCAGTCTTCCCTCAACACTCCATCTGAAACACCACTCCCCTCCACTCTCAACCCCTCACTCTGCTTTATTATCATTCCTAGCAATTACCTTTATTTGAAATCACATATGGCATTATGTTTCCCTAACGAGAGTTGACGCTCCCTGAGGGCAGATTTAATACTACTTACAGTAATATTTCCAGTGCTTAAAACAGTTCCCAGCACATGGCAGGAACATAATCATTTTTAAATTAACTCATCTTCACATTCTTAAACTGGAGAAAAATTCGGCAGCCAAACCCCTCTTAAGCTTGCTATGATACCTGAGTACTGCCAGGCCACTTTACTTTCTACGGATTCTATCCAGATGCTCTATTCAAAATTTAATAGGCTAGGTATCAATATAATTAAGAAAGAAAATTCTATGCAGTGACTCAAAGAAACAGCTAATTTATATCCACATTATTACTTTACCACTCTTTGATGAATAAAACCTGTTCCTATTAAATGATATTTTGATATATCTTCAAGTCCACTAGCATTTAGTTCAAGTCACAAAATATTTAAACTTTTAAAACTATAAATTTCAAACAAAGTCTCCTGAAAATCTATGTCGGTCAAAGTATAGGCACCTATGTAGATGTATAAAAAAGTAAAAAATCTAACCAGAAAATTATTGACTCAGGACATAAGAATTTGTACTAACTTGTACCACATCTAGTTTGTACTCAGGAAAACTTTCAGACACTCTGCATCACTTGGTTTTCATCACAGTGGGCAACAGTTCTGATCCAGTTCGTAAGTACCAGCAAATAGCTTCTTAACGCAGAATTGAAGTATTTTGGTCTCCATTTATAAACAGCCCAGACATTCTGAAGACATGAAAAAAAAGCACTGGGAGATGGGAGGAAGGAAGAAGTGAAAACTTGGAAAACATTTAAGAAGGTAATGCCTGAATCTTTAGCGTTGATTATCAGTTTGAGTAACGATATTATTTACACCTTGGTTTACTAAAACTCATCACATTTGTCATTTTGAGAAGGATTTTAATCACGTTCACCTCAAAGATTTGAGGCGGCAGGATTTCTTGAGAAGGAAGCCTTTCTTCCTTGTTTCCTGAGGCTTCATTACTCAGTTCAGTCAGAGCTGCACTGTGATAAACTAGGGGTTGTAGAGTCGTCTGTGTAACATATTTCCATCACTTTCCAGGAAGAGGCTGGATTCAGTCAGTTTATACCACCTTCCACAATTCACAAAAGCATGACCTTAATACATATAAAGTTTTATTTTTACAAGTTACACATATTTTAAAAGAACAATTTCTTTTCATTCTAATTAATATTACTATTAATTAGAATATCAATTGAAGATATTTTTACTTATGATAGTTAAAACCAAAACTTCGTGAGGCCAAAGCAATGAATAATCTTTGACTCAACAAGAGAAGCCTGGAGACCTGAGGATTACATTTCCCATTCTGTATTAAAAACCAGAACATTCAAAAACTATCACAAAAATTCAGACACTGAAATTATTCAACTAATATAAGTTTATGCATTTGGTATATTCCACTTATTTTTTATTTGAAAAAGCACATGTATGTTAAAATAGTTTTGATACAAATGAGTTATAAATGTAACAAAAAAATCAGACTTTGTATGTTTTAGTGGGGAATGTTCATTAAAACATTCAACACACATTTCCTCTTTCTGTAAATTCATAGTGTAGAAAAGCACAAATTTTTGGACTTCTCATCTGCCAAGTGATCTCAACTTAATACTAAATTAGTCTTCCTCCCCCCCCCAAAAAACAAAATCCAGTATTTTCTCAGTAACTATAGAAGTGCTGCTGCTTTTAAAATACTGTCTTTTTCTTAAAATACTTTCTGTTCAATTTCATAAATATTTATTGCTAGCAATATAGGGAATACTTCTTGTTGGATATCCATGTCTTTTTAAAAAAGTTTAGCCCTAATCCTAGTATCAAACACAGAGAATACAGGCAGGAGTCCTATTCATGTTTTCTTACCAAAAAAAAAATCAAAAGTACCATTTCTTATGATAGACTATATTTTATCATTCTAAGAAGCACACTTTTTAACAACTCTAAGGTCAGGGTGTTCTCATAATTGATGTCAGCTCACCATCAACAGTTTGGCCTTTGGCTCCTAGCTACTCGCCTGCTCCAGGGGGAACCACCCTCTACCCTCGTCCTCAGCTTGGTCTGCACAGTCCCTCTGCACTGTGTCTTCTCTCAGCTGATCCAGAGTTTGAGAGCCCCTGGAATGGAAACTGAAGGATTTTAAACCAGGCAAGCATGCCGCAGGTCAGGGCACAGAACTGTGCTGCAACCCAGTTCTGACACGGGTGAGACGCTTAGTTGGGTGGACGACAGTTAAAGGACTGAGAGAAAGGCATTGTGTCGGAGTGCTGGCAGTACTTTAGTGCTCCATAAAAGTGTCTTTTAAATAGACAGTACCTTAAATTTGATGAAATTCAATAATTAAAAATACAGCCAAAATCTATAGTTGGATCTCTAGGGCTAAAAATGAGCTGTGTAGGGATTTTGACCAAAGTTTTTATAGTCCTGTGTAGGTCCCTCATAATTAATAAGCAAAAAACAGACACTAAAGCCACTGTAGTCTGGTCCCTGTCCACAGACCATCTGTGTGCCTCATCCTCTGCAATGAGAATGTAATATGTAATACTCTGGAAAAGCAAAACTAAATATAAGCAGGTGCTCAAACTTTTATTTTAATTCTTACAAAATACTATAGAAATGAACCCAAACTAAACAGGTATGTACATGTACATATGTACAAAATTTTACTTCTGAAAAAGAATCTATAAAAGTAGATGGTTTAAAAAAAAAAGAAACGGAAAAAAGATTTAAAACCAGTACTATGAAATTGATTCTCTTGAAGTAAAGTAATAGTAATTTTAAATTGCTGGTCGTAGTTGGTTTTCTAGGCTTATTTACACATTTTATTATGGTCAGATATATAAAGGAGTTTCTTTTACTTTAGAATATCTTCAGTTTCTTTTTATCTCATCAACTAGTCCTGAATTTTTTCCCTTTACACATCTTTCAGCACGAGGACACACAGCGTATTAAGGTACAGATCGACTTCGGTCTTCGTCCTCCTCCTGAGCCACAGGCCGGAAAGGCAGTGTACTCTGTCCTCTTTCAGGATCAGACATTCGAAGAATTCTAATCAGTTTACTTGACGGAAGTGAGCTGGAGGAAGCAAACTTAATTACTCAAATTTCCAAGAAAATTTTTTCACATTAAAAAATATTCTATTACCACCTCATGAATATATAAATCTAAATGGCTGTTATCTGTGAAAAGGGGGATTCATCTAATATCTGGAGTTCTAGGAGAAATATAATTTGCAATACAGAAATAATTTGTTTCCTTTTTTTAAAATGAACTTCCTGCTAAATGCCATGGGTTTCCAGTTCAGAGGAAAAAGAAAGTGAGGAGATGTACATATCAACTATTTCTAACTCTTACTCTTCTTGTCTAGCAAGGAAGGAGTTACCTGAATGTTCCCAATCATAAATTCAAATCCTCATATGGTCAAGTGACCACTTTAAGAGATGGAACATCAACTCTAAGTGACACAGCGCCTGATCACCTTACAGGCGCCCAATAAATGCTGACTGACAGCAGCATTCATTTAGAAAGACTAGTACTTGTAAGTCACCAGAAAAAGAGCCAAGACTAGGGAAATCACCAATTGTTTCTTTAGTCGCAACAGAATTACTAAAATTACTTTAGATTAGTTGGTTATGCTAACCACCTAGGAGCAGATTCGAAATTGAAATAGTAACAAGTCAATAATCACATTCCAATCAACTTGCTTCTGTCATAGAAGGGAGACAACACAAGCAAAATTTTAAATATTTAAGAAGGAAAAATTATCTTAAATCTCCTGATATAGAAGCTAAATTTTCTTTCTATTGGTCATTTATTTATTTGCATTTTAAAATTAAGATTATAAAAGATTTCTTTCCCCTTTTTATATATGTGATATATATATTCACAGAAGAACTTTAGAAAGTTACCTCATGCTTTGAGGGGTAAGCAAGATAAACTGTCGGAAACGCTGGGAATCTGCCATCTTGAGTATCATGTCCATCGCAATCCTCCGGTTAACCATGTCCTGAAGAGCAAGGCAGGGGTTAGGACTGCTCCAGTGTCAACCATGTTCCTGTAGAAGCAGCATTCTGCTGGCTGTTACAAACCCCTGGATGTTTATCTATGACGCTGAGCAACTCATACAGGGAAAGATAATACCAAAAACGACCAGGGGAAAATCACAGAAGACATGTATCTTCCAGGGAATTTCTACAGTCAAAGCATTTGTAAGTATAGCTCCCTCCCTCAAATATACTCAGCAATGAAAGGGATCAGAAAATAGTCACAAGACACAATTAAATGTCACAGAATGGATCTAATTTGTACAGTAATAACCACTCAGGAGAACAGTATCAAAAGTGACTAGTTGCAAACTTAAGTCTCTCAAATCTTCCCTCAATGATTAAAGTGTTTTAAAAACTCTGCCCCCATGTCCTTCTACAATTTGTACAACATGAACCAACTCGAACTTATAGACCAATTTCTTGATCCAATCTTTAAAATAAGTTAAACATTATATCCTTGTATAGAAAATAGTGCTTAGTTATAACAGGTTCTGAAATTAAACGAATTAAACTGCGAGCTTATATTTTCTGAGTTAAATAAGAGAAAAAGAAAAAAAAATCCAAGTACCCCCCAGAAACCCCTGAAAGTTGAAAACATAGACAGATGAACGCACATCCTTTTCAAGGTCTGTCTGAAACTACACGTGGTGGAACAGCACGGTGGTTGAGAACACAGGATTGCAGGCAGACAGGGCTCCCATACCCTGGCTATATTTCTCAGTGGCTTGTATTACATAAAATCTTCCATCAGGCCTATCTGTAATGGAATCTAACTTAAAGTTAACAAAAATAACCAGAGCTCGCACAAATGGAACACTGTCCTTTCAAAACTCTGCCCTGGGGAGGCCTATCATTCAATAACAAAGCCCAAGTGCACCAAAAAATATTTGTTCCCTTTGGATTGGTTCTAAGAACTTGGGTGCATTTTTCTGAATGATTTCAATGGGGCAAAATGCCACTCTGATTAAAAACCTCTAAGTTTCTGAAATAAAAAAAAGTTCAGGATTAAATTGGACAAATAAGATGGGTGACAAGACTGCATAATGGCATTTTGGACAAAAATACTGCATGGAAAGAATAATCATTTCCTATGGTTTGTGAATTAACTTCAAGCCAATTCTCAGAGGAATTTCTAACTAATCTTTGGCAATGGTATCATAAGAAAAAAAAGACACTGAAGGATTATACAGCACTCACAAGTATAAATTCCGATTCACGAATAAGCATTTCCTAAATGCTTATCATGGGCTAGGCATTCAGAGGTAGAAATATGATTAAGATATACTTGATAACTTCAAAAGGTTATAATTTGGTGGGAGATTCAGACATGAAAATAAGGGGCTGCAATGGAATGAAAAAAGATATAAGATATATAATAGTGAAATGTACATAAAATATATACTATAATATAAAATATAAAAATAACGTATCAGCATGATTGACGTAAGGTGGTGCCACGGGAGCTCTGAGAAGTTCCTGGTTCTGCCTGGCAGGGTGATGGCATGAAGGCTACATAAAGCTGACATCCGAATCAAGTCTAGAAAGATAAGCGGGGGTGTGACATACAATGAAGGAGGGCACAAGAGGCAGAGGCAGTGTTTAGAAAACCACAAATAGCTTAGTACCCCTGAAAAAGGAGGCAGATACTGGATCACAAAGGGCCTCAGTTACCCCACACAAACATCTATCCCAGGTTGCATAATTAACCACTGAAGAGTTTTAAACAAGTGAGCGACCACAAGCAGATTTATTTTGGAAACGTAAACCTGGTAAAACAGTAAAGGAGGGGCCTGAAGAGAAGGAGCGAGATTAAAGTCTAGGAGTCTGGACAGGAGGCGATTACAATGGGCAAGAGCTGGAGCTGGAGCTGGAGCTGCGCAGGAACAGGAAGGAGAGGACAGCAGAGACAGGGGAGATACTTAAAAGAGGGAAAACAGAGAGGTCAGACTCAACGTGTGAGCGAAAAGGAAGGAAGACTCACAGACAAATCAAAGGTTTTGCAGTTAGGTGACTGGGTAGGTAATGGCAATTTGCCACTAATCAAGGAGGCAAGTCAGGAAAAGGAAGAGGCTTTGAGTGGAAGAAAAATTTAGTCTCAGCCATGCTGAGTCTGAGACGTGCTCATTTACTAGATAATGTCTAACAGAGAGATGTTAGGACAAGATATATATATCTGTTGGTATCCAAATGTAGGTAGTAGTTTTGGGGACTGTGCGTGTATGTGGCGGGGGTAGGCAGGGTATGGTATCCAAGAAAATGAACACAGTAAAACAAACATAAACACAGAAGACCTCAAACATTTAAGGCCAATAGAATTAGGGGAGGCAGCTTGGCAATCAGAACCAAGAGAACAGGCAGAACAGGAAAGAGGAGCTGGGAACTGGCAAGAAGACATGTTTGAAGAGATGGAGAATAGGTCTGTGGTGCCAAATATCTCAAAGAGTTAAAGTAAGACTAAAAGTTCATTTATGATCTTTGCTACACAAGTCTTGCTGCAGTATCATAGTCTAAACCCAGATTACAGTGGGTTAGGAAAGAACGAGGCACGAAGTAGTAAAGAGAATGATTGATAGCTAGTTTGGGCAGACTTACCATGTGCCTGCACTATTGAAAGTGCATTACATGCAAGACCTCACTGGAGCCTCACTATAGCCCTACGAGGTAGGAAAGACTAATAACCTCATTTTATAGATGAAGAAACTGAGGCGCCAAAAGGATAAATACTTTTCCCAAAGTTTATCAGAATCACTAACTGCAGAGGCAGATGTCAATCCCAGGTTTGTTAACTTCAAAGTGAAATGCTCTTCCTCCCTTGTGTTATATATACTGTTCTTTGGGAAAGTGTGGTTGTGAAGGAAGGAGAGGACAAACAGCGGCAAGAGTTAGTCAAAGCAAGGGTGGTAAACTAGTTATGATTTTGTTTTAAAAAGGAAGAAGGAAATAAACTAGGGAAAAGGCCGAAGGAGTCTATCTGGTGGAGAGCAAGGACATCCCGGATGGGAGAGAAGGTGATGAAATCAGGACAGGGTCTCTACAGGTGTAGCATCCAGGGAGAGAAGTAGGATTCCGTGGTTCTTCTCTACCACGGATCACACACTGAAGTGTCAGGGCAGGAGCTTTCCATCATGGGTAAAACTACAGAAAGAACTGCTTCTTTTCAAAAGACACATTTCCAACAACAAAAAAACATTAGAGAATGTAAAATTTAACACTACCATGTAGACATCAAACTCATCCAGGCATCTGAAAGGAGATTCGGCAATGGACCACAGAGACAGAATGAAGCAAACTGTGGAAAAGGAGCGTTCGCCTCCAGACAAGGCTCTCATGTCATTGAAAGCAGCTTTGTTTCCCTCTCCAGGCTGAACCTTGAGTGAGTGAACAAAAAACAAAGTATAGAAAAAGTCCGATTAAACTGCTTACAAAAAAAGATTGGCTAGCATTAGAAAGAATGGGCTTATAGTAAAAAAAAAAAAATAAGAAGAATAAAATCATTTAGTGATAGGAAATGACATCTATCTCATTTAACATATTTTACAGGATAACAGTGAGCTGTATAATAGTGGTTTTTGTTTTATTGCAAGAAAATCAAATTGAAAGGATTTTCTCCCCATAACTGGTTTCCAATTAATAATAAAAATGCCAATATTAGACTAACATTAGTAATCAAAATAAATAATCTAAACTAGTTTTCTTGATGCTGTTAGTTTCCTTTTTTATCCGCTCTAGCTTTACTGAGATAAAATTGACATATAACATTGTGCAAATTTAAGGTGTACAATGTGATAATTTGATGTATGTATATATTGCAAAAAGATTACCACAATAAGGTTAGTTAACATATCCATCAACTCACATACTTCTTTTTGTAGTGAGAATTTTTGAGATCTACTCACTGAGCAAATTTCAATATACAACACAGTATTGTTAACTATAGTCACCATGCTGTACTGGCATAAAAATAGACACATGGACCAATGGAACAAAATTGAGAGCTCAGAAATAAACCCACACATATATGGTCAACTAATATTTGACAAAGGAGCCAAGAATATACAATGAGGAAAGGATAGTCTCTTCAATAAATGATGCTGGGAAAACTGGATATCCATATGCAAAAAAATGAAGCTGGACCCCTATCTTATACCACTCACAAAAGTCAACTTGAAACAGATTAAAGACTTAAATACAAGACTTGAAACCATAAAACTCCTAGAAGAAAACATAGGGAATAACTTAGTCATCTTCTATGGCTGGTACCCTATGATCACCTTTACTCACTTCTCCCACTGTCCCCCATACCTGGCAACCACCATTCTACTGTTTCTATGAATTTGGCTTTTTTAGATTCCACATATAAGTGAGATCATACAGTATTTATCATTCGCTATCTCACTTATTTCACTTAGCATAATGCCCTCAAGGTCCATCATGTTTTTGCAAATGGCAGGATTTCCCTCTTTTTATGGCTGAATAATATTCCACTGTATATACACACATTTGCTGTATCCATTCATCTGCCAACAGACACTTACGTTGTTTCCAAGTATTGGCTATTGTAAACAATGCTGCAACGAATACTGGGGTACAGATATCTTTCCAAAAGTGATTTCATTTCCTTCAGCTATATAGCCAGAAATGGAACTGCTGGATCATATGGTAGTTCTATTTTTAATTTCTTAAGAAAATGCCATACTGTTTTCCAGTGGCTGTACCAGTTTACATTCCCACCAAATGTGTACAAGGGTTCTCTTTTCTCCACATCCTCACCAGCATTTGTTATCTCTTCTCTTTTTGATAACAGCCATTCTAACAGGTATGAGGTGTTGTCTCATTGTGGCTTTGATTTGCATTTCCCTGATGATTAGTGATGTCGAGCACCTTTTCACGTACCTGTTGGTCACTGGTATGTCTTCTTTGGAAAAACGTCCACTCAGGTCCTTTGCCAACTTTTAAATTGGATTGTTTGGTTGTTTGCTATTGAGTTGTATGTGTGCCTTATATATTCTGGATATTAACCCCATATCAGATACACGGTTTGCAAATATTTTGCAACCTATTCTATAGGTTGTCTTCGCATTTTGTTGATCATTTCTTTTGCTGTGCAGAAGCTTTTCAGTTTAATATAGTTCCACTAGTTTATTTTTGCATTAGTTGCTTGTGCTTTAAGTATCAAATCAAAAAAATCACTGCCAAGGCTAATATGAAGGAGCTTCTTCCCAATGCTTTCCTATAGAAGTTTTATGGTTTCACGTATTTCTTTAAGTCTTTAATCCACATCAAGTTGATTTTTGTGAGTGGTATAAGGTAAGAGTCCAGTTTCATTCTTTTGCAGGTGGATATCCAGTTTTCCCAACACCTTTTATTGAAAAGACTATCCTTTCCCCATTGTATATTCTTGGCTCCTTTGTCAAAAAACAGATTACTGTAGGGGCCGGCCCTGTGGCCAAGTGGTTTTGTGCACTACGCTTCAGCAGCCCAGGGTTTTGCTGGTTGGGATCCTGGGCACGGACATGGCACCGCTCATCAAGCAGTGCTGAGGCGGCATCCCACATGCCACAACTAGAAGGACCCACAACTAAAAATATACAACTATGTACCAGGGGGCTTTGGAGAGAAAAAGGAAAAAATAAAATCTTAAAAAAAAAGTTTACTGCATATGTGTGGGTTTCTTGATTCTGTTCCATTGGTCTATATGTTTATTTTTATGCCAGTAGTATACTGTTTTGATCACTACAGCTTTGTAACGTAGCTTGAAATCAGGAAGTGTGATGCCTGCAGCCTTGCTCTTGTTCTTTTTTCTCAAGATTGCTTTGGCTATTCGTGGTCTTTTGTGGTTTCATGTGCATTTTACAATTGTTTTTTCTATTTCTGTGAATCATTGTAGTCTAGATAGGAACTACAATGAATCTATATATAGCTTTGGATAGTATGGACGTTTTAACAATATTAATTCTTCTGATCCATGAACACAGGTTATCTTTCCATTTATCTGTGTCTTCTTCAACTTCTTTCATCAATGTCTTATAGTTTTCAGTATAGAGATCTTTCACCTCCTTGGTTAAATTTATTCCTAAGCATTTCACTGTTTTTTTTTACGGTTTTTGATGCTATTGTGAATGGGATTGTTTTATTTTTTTTCCCAAACATTTCTAAGTGCCAAGATAATCTTCTGTTACTTGAATTACAGTGACATCTAGTGGTTAAGCTGCTTTAAAAGTAATTACTGAATGCTAAAAGGATAACAGGACCAATTTAAAGAGGCTCACACTGGCCAAAGAAGAACAGCGTGAATGAAGCCTCTTCAGAAAATTCCTCTTTACTAAATAAGGGTTCACGGGGACTATAAAAAATCAATTAATGACATTAATAACAAACTTTCCAAGAGTTCCTGAGAAGGTAGCATAAAGTAACGCTAGAAGGAATTCTATTTAATTTTGACAGAATTCCAGATATACATATACGCCCATAAATTGAAAAAACAGAGCACCAACCAGTTTCATATCATAAAGTTTTATCATGTGTTTTAACAGACACATAGCTTCACATTTTATAACTCACTATTTGTAAAATTCTGAAGCTCTCGAGTTCATTTATTTTTTAATTTTCAAAGGGTTATAAAAAATTCTGAATTTAAACATACACTGAAATTTTATATTTATCATCTGTAAGTCTGAATCCTCTATGAAAATCCAAATGGAACAGCAACATTAATCTAAGTAGTAAAAAGCCAAACCAAAACAACCACCAACCAAACAAAAAACCCTGCATAAAAGCGAGGACTAAGTAACAGGATGCAATCTATTCCTCCAAAACTGCATTTTGTATCAATCTACTAACGAAGCCCTAGATAAACTGTGGAATTCCAAATTTTATCCCTGATCTATTACTAACTTATCATGAGACTTTAGTCTCAGTTTCCTTATTTATAACATCAAGACTATGTAGCTTAAAGATTCTTAAAGCAACGATATTCTTTTGAATAACAGATGATAACATCAAAAAGTTTAGCTTGGGTTGTCCTGTACAGTTAGCTCTGGGGATAAATTATTCAAACACTCCTAATATCTTCTTCTTTCTCATTTTTACTAGAGTATAACTTATATACAGTAAAGAACACAAAACTTAAGTGTTCAGCTCATGTAATTTTTAGACACACACACATATATACACACACCCAGGTAATCATTAATCAGATCAAGACAGGGAACATCCCTAGGATTTCAGCAGGTTCCCTGCATCTCCTTCCAGTCACTACCAAGCCCCAAAAGTAACAACTATTCTAACTTTAATCACCATAGATGAATTTTATTGGTTTTTGAAGAGTTTTGAAGAGTGGAATGGCTTTAATAGACATTGCCAGACAGGTTTTCAAATTAGTTATACCAAATTATACTCCCACTAGCAAGGTATGAGAGTTCTAAGTCCACACTCTCACCAACACAAGATACTATCAGCCTTGCTCGTTTCAGTCACACTAATAGCAGTGTGATAGTAACTTATTATGGTATAAATTTGTATTTCTCTGATGACTAATGATACTGAGCATTTTTTCAAGTACTTATTCGCTATTCGGATATTTTAATTTATGAAGTTCCTATTTAAGCCTTCTGACCATTTTTAAATGCATTGTCATTCTTTTTCTTAATCATTATCATTCATAAAAAATTTTTGGTATGAGCCCTTTGTTGTATAGATATATTGTAAATTACTATTTATTCTAAGAATTAAAATGAAAATATAAAATTTATAGCAACTAAGCAATTACTTGAAAGTTCTTCCCCAATTACTTAAGAGTGGGTAGCTGCTCTTGATATCCTGACTACACAATTTTAATGCTACATCCAACATTCCCTCTTTTAACGCATGTGACTATAGAAGAATCCACAAACACAGATCCACAGAGTTGAATATGGTGGCTTTGTTTATCCAAAAGAGGCTAGATCTAGGGACACCTAGTAAGTACAAAGACAATTACATGGGGTAGAACGTTCTTTGGGAATCCTTTCTTGGCTCCCTACAACGTGACCAGAGAATATGGACTTTCTATAATGTTGCACATAATTTAAAATGCTGTATGAATGTAGAAAAGAAACCTGTGGAATAGAAAGAGAAGATGAACACCTGTTACTGAAAATAAAATTCCTAATTATCATTATAAGAAAATAATGTAGTTGTCAGGGGGGAAAAAAAAAGCTATAATAGCTGCTTTAGCCAATAAGATCAATTTAATTTTCAACACTTTGGCAAAGACTATCCTTAAGTTAAAAATAAGTTCTTTTGTTTTTCAAAGACAACAGGTCAAAAGCTTATCAACGTATCATGAAAAGAAGTGCAGCAGCTAATTCTCCTATGATCAACATGCAAAGAGTTAAGATACTTACTGATATGCTAAGAGTTTCATTCTTGTGGTCAAAATTCATTTTTCCACAATAGGCCCGCTGAGATAATAAGTTGTCAAAGTATAATTTGCATCGTAAAGTTAAACATCTTGAAATAAAGAAATTGGGTACATTAAAAGAATATAAAGACACAGACCCGTATATTGAACATGATCTTTAAGCCAGCACGAAAGATCAGAAGGAAATATGCCAAAAGGTTAGCACTGGTTGCCCATTTAACAGGTGGGACTTTAGGATTTTTTCCCCATGTCTTTATATTTCATTTGTGTCTCCACATTTTTACCACTTCATTTCCTTTTATAATAAACAAATATCTACAAAATTAATAAAGATGTCATCCCACATTTAAGATATCCCATTGTGTTACAGCCAGCCCATATGAATATTCCAGTAATTTATATAAGGCATCACTCTAATACAAAAGACATAGATCTTGTCTATGAGAGGATTAAACTCTAGTACTGTTAAGATAACGGGTAAATGGCGTGGCTTATTCATTTGCCTGTCTCCTCTCAACTTTATAGTAGCAAAAAGTGTAAGGGCAATCTCTTATTCACTTTGTACCTCTAACACCTTGCACACTGCTTGGTACAATACAAACTCTACCATGCCTTCTCTATTTATCAGACAGCATTCTACTGTAAGGAGAGTTTTCATTCTTCCTCAATTATTTATTTACTTACCCACCTTTCTATTTATCAGGATACAGTCACAGATTCTTATTTTATTCATTGTTTACCATCCATTACTGTCCTTATTTATTGTGGTCCTCAAATTGTCCCAGATTTCGCCAATGGTAGCCCCTTCCAGCTGCCTCCTATGTCCTTTTATCATGACTCTCAATTTTTTTTGAGCACTGCCTTACTTTCTAGCATAGTAAGAGGCTCATCTGTTATCTTCCCTGTCCAGCTCTGGAATCAGCCATTCCTCGAAGGAGCCGTGATTCCTTTTGGTGGAGAATGGTATTTAGAAAATAAGATCCGGGTCATAGGTGACCGGCTGTTTTTCTTAACATCTTTGCTCCTTAAGGAGCCTAAAGCTCATTTCTTAATAGTAATTATAATTTTATTCTTTACCCTCTTAATTCCCTTCCTAAACTGCATTAAATCTCCACACTAGAAAATATCAATAGCCTGAGTTTTCTTTTGTGCCACAGCAACCACTGCTAGCTGGTTTTCAGAATTTTCTCTTAACTTTCTTTCTTTCAATACTGATATGTATTCTTCAACTGCTTCCATTCATGGGATATCTAAGAGAGAATGTCCTCATAAAATGACGAGGTTCTCCAGTGTAAAGAGACAAATAATTTTTAAAATGTAATCATTCTTATTCTCCTCCTAAGATTGGGTAAACAGTATAAAACATATCAGTAGTGAAGAAACATAGCAAGGTAATAAACTGTAAGACCAACACTTTTACAGAAGATATTTTAAAAACAAATTTTCTAGATAACAATACAAATCCTACTGTTTCTGGAAAAGATGTAGTAATAGGCATTGAATTTATTCCTCTGCCTGAAACAACTAAAAAACGGGACAAAATATACGTACCAAGAGTTTTCAGACTGGACGCCTGACTGTGCAGGCGGTTCCAGTCAAAGGATCCCTGAAAGGCGGGAAACAAACAAACTGAGCCCTACGGGGGCCCCGAATGACGGCTCACGGAATAAAGGGGCGTGGACACCCAGCAGAGCTCGGAGGTCGCCCTGTGTGAGCAAACAGAGCTAGGAGTCTGGGGAGGCCAAGTCACCTCTGGTTCAGAGAGAAGAGAGAGCAACACAGAGAGAAAACAGAGAACCTACAAAGGGTGCCTCGAGAGCCTCAGGCCGAGTCCTCTACTCCTCAGGGCATGTGAGAGGCAACTACCTGAGGCCAGGGAAACAAACGTTGGAAAGAAGCAGAAGCTTCCCCAAAGGTCACCCAGGAATTGTTCACATGCCCACTGGCAAAAGTGGACAACCTGAGAACTCACGAGGTATGAGTGGAGAACTTACAAGAGCACTGCTTCACAGTCAGGAGAAAACTGCCCCTCGACTAAAGGCTCCTCTGGCCCCAACTAACAGAACTTACAAAGTAGCCTCAAAAGGATCAAGATGAATCCTATATAATTAAATCCCTAAAAACATGCTTATAAAACTGGAACGCACATTTCAAAAACTAACCTTTAGTTTAGTTAAGGAATATGGTCAAACATGCAAAGTCTGCTTCTCCTTATGGCTTTACCTGAATTTCCCCATATGTGATACAGCTAGATATACTTTTTATTTCTATAGTCTTAACTTGAGTTTGGGGTATAAAGACAGGTAAGAAGCATGTTACTGAGGGAATGCCACCTGGGAAAATAGAGGTTAAGTAGAAAGACTTGGGCTGCCGTGGATCCAAGTATATCAAGGGCCACCCCTACCTATCAACTACCTCTCGTTTCTTTCTGTTGCTTGTAATTTTAATTGGGGCGAATCTATTCCTACGAGTCTGCCTATTTCTGGGTACATTAATAATATCCACTTGCCCTGACCCTGTATTCATTCATTCAACCAATATATATCAAGTTTCTAATATATTTCAGGCACTGGAGTGGACACTGGAGATACAGCAGTAAACAAAACAGAGATTCTGCATCCATAGAGTGACCTATTCTATTAGATCACGGAAGATCATCTGAGATACTGCCTCAAGAGGTCCCATCAAAAACTCGTATCCCTTAAAAACATATAATGTCCAAGAATGAAACAGGCTGTTTCCAAACCAATGGGCTCCCTGTCAAAGGATCTATTTAAGCAGAGACTGAACAGCTATCTAAGAGTTATCTAGTAAAGGACATCTAACGGAGTGGAAAAGGTGGATAAGCTCACTAAAAAGGACTCTTCAAATCCAGAATTCTCTGATTAAATTATAGGATCCTAAGTACTGGCCAATAAAGCAAGCACTGGCAGTTTCTTCTTTAATTGAATCATGTAAAGTTCTTTCAGTCTAATTTTATTATTTATAAGGGATAATGTGAAAACAAAGAAAAAACAAAATGTATAATATGTGGTAATATTTTTAAATGCACTTACCTTCTAAATTGTTGATATGTTTTGTATCTATGAGTCATTATCTCTTCCAGTAATTTAATAAACCTTTTTAAAGTCCTTACTTTATTATCCAGATCAAGATAAGTTTCTCTTGCCTCTTGGTACTGCCTATTTTATGAACAAAATAGTAAGTAAATAAATGACATTCAAAGAAATATAAAGAAAAGTAAAACCTCAAATATATTTAACGAGGAAGAACAGGGAGTGCTGAGGGGACCCACTTCAGAAGTAGCAGCTTTCAAAAATCTCCAGACAAAATGTGTGACCAGAATGAGTGTGTGCTGCCCTGGCTGGGAAGAGCTGTTAGCAGAGCTGGGCAGGAAGAGAGCCCAAGGCCTGGAGAAGGCAGAGAAAGCAGGCGAGGAGAGCGCCGAGGTGGGGCCGAGAGGTGGCAGATCCTAGAGAATGCCGGCAAATATACACCTTCAAAAAGTGAAGGGATCACTCTGGGAGCCAAGAAATGTTTCCCTAGTGACAGACGCCAATGTGGAAACCGCGGAACACAGGGTGAGCATTAGGATCCCCCAGAAGCCCAGCCTGAAAGAGACGAGGTCAAAGAGGCAGAGAAGGCAGGGCTACTCAGAAGCACCACCATGGAGGCAAAAGCTCACTGCTGGAGCAAACGAGAAAGTTCCAGACAAGGTATGAAAGACAACCCTGGCCAAGGCTCCCACAGCTCCCTGCCCCATCGTTCTTCAAATGCCAGTCCAGGAAAATCCAACCAATTAAAAAATAAAAACAGAAAAAGCACAAGCATAGCATCCATACAAAGATATTTATGGAAAAAAAACAGGTGGGAAAGAGCAGCAAAAGTCCCCCTATGGACAAAGAAAAGTTCCTAGAATAACGTTGTCACAAAGAAGATGAACACTGTAACTGAACAACACGAATTAAAACAAAGCAAAAGATGAGACAACTACTACCAGGAAGGACTACCTCAAAGCAGAAATAGAAGAACTGAAAGAAGACATAAATCAAGGAGCCTGGAGAATAGACACGCAAACAGAAGGTGATAACCAGAAAAGAACAGGAGGAGAAGCAAAAACTCACTTGTAGAACCCAAAGTGGAGGAGGTGGGGGTTAAACACACACAGAACAAAGACACGAAGACGAAAAGGGAAGATGACGCACAGGGGCAAACAGACAACACAGAAAACACTGGTAGACATAGAGATCATAAATGAGAAAAGCAGACAAAATGGGGTAAAAAACAGATAAAATGATTAGACAAAATAACTAGAGAAAACAAAGGATGTCCAACATATGCACAACTGAAGACCTCAAAAAAGGAAACTAAACAACAGAACAGAAAACATTTAAAAAGTACAATATAAGAAAACTTTTAAAAAATAAGACAAATCTACAGAATAAAAAGCACAGTGTATACCAGGGAAAGGATCACAGAACCTGACACTCCGGACAAGTTATAGGACTTGATAGACAAGTGTCATCATAAACAGACACTCATGAGAAAAAGGATTTTATACCAGGCTAAGCTATCCTTCAAATTCAAAGCTAGAGACAAATGGTTTGGGACATGCAAAAACACAACAAACACTGTTCACATGGCCACTCTTAAGGAAACAATTAGAGGACAAACAACTTTCCTACATAGCCATTTGAAAAAAGATAAAATACATTCCTCACACCAAAAATATTCACAGAAAAATGAAAAAGTACACTAAAAGATCGCAGAAAAAGAAATATAAATAAATGGTCCTTAAGACATGAAATGATATTCAACCATAGGCAATATATGTGAAATGCAGATTAAAATTACACTGAGGTATATTCTTTCTTTTAGGAAATCTACCGATCAGGAAAAAGAATCTAAGATGATCACACATGGTTTAGGCTGTGGGGCAAGAAGCACTCTAACACACTGCTGATGGGAGCACAAAATGTACAGTCCCTGAAAAGGGGACTCTGCCAAAATGGGGTTTATCCCATTAAAAAAAAACCCTGGATATATACAAAATGACCTACATACAAAATTATTTCTTGTGTACCACCATTTATAATAGCAAAAGATTAGATTAAAACTCAACTACCCACCAGTAGGAGATGGTTAAATACTGTGAAATTACAAAAAAATAATGAGAAAATATGTACTGGTATGGAAAGATCTCCAAAATATATCACTAAATCAAAGAAAGCAATCTGTAAAACAGTTTATATAGTGTTACCTTTTGTATCTGCAAGAATGAAAAGTAACATATACTCATGTTACCTTGTATTGGCATACAGAAACACCAAAAACATATTTAATAAATTAATTTAGTAAAAGGAAAGAAAAGTAGAGATGATGAGACTAGAGATGAAGTAAAAACTTGTCAATGAATGCTTCTTACAATGTATTTTTAAAACAATGCAGTATTATATACTTTAAAGAAAAACTTCTCTTACTATTTTTATGTTTTTTCTATTGTTTTCCAATGTTTTTGAAAACAGAATGGGGATCACTCCTGTTTCCAGCCTTTTTTAATATGAAAAGTTCTCCATAAAGTGTAATTTTCTACTATAATTTAATCTATCCTACAGTTGTGCACTATTTCTAATAATGCTGCAATAAACACATCTGAGCACAAATTGTTTTTCTCATTCTGGATTATGTTATAACAACAAAGCTACTTGGCCAAACTGAAATTTTTGAAGGTGTTTGACATAAACTGCCTTAATGCTTTTTAGAAAGACTTTAATAATAATAATATCTAACATACTGTGTATCTTATATATTCTGTTTATCATGGATCATCTCATTTAACCTTCATAACAACCCCATAAGGTAAGTATTATAATTATTCCCATTTTATAGATGAGAAAACTAAGGTTCAGAGAGATTAATTTTCCAGTCATGTAAGTAGGTAGCAGAATTGCAATTCAAACCAAGGTACTACTGCTTCAGAACCTATGCTCTAACTATCCTAGAGCTTTCATTTTTACCAGTAATATAAGAATATCCACTTCACTGAAATCTCACTGACATGAAGTATAAGTGTTTTTTTCATCGATATATATGAAATGGCTTCTAACTGTTTTGATTTGCATTTCTTTGATTATTTGTGAAGCTGAACATTTTCACATCTATATGAACCTTATAGGTATAAAAATGACATTTATGTTAAAATGTCACTCCATAAGTTCTGCAATAATTCAGAGGAAAAAAGTTAGTTTATTATTAATAACACTAGTTTAGCTATAACTATATGCCATAGCAACACTTCATCCAAGTTTAAGATTTACATATAAACAGTTACTTTTTATGTCTTGAAAATATATATGGATAAAATAATCAAACAGAAAAGCTACCAACCACTTACCTCATTATTTCCTCTCGATCTCCATGACTAGCATGTTCTGCCTGTATCTTTTGTCTTAATCTATTAATTTCTTTGTCTAGAATTGATGCAGATTTTTTTACTTCTATCCGCTCTGGGCAGATTTGTCTTGCTTGTGACATTTTCTCCTAAGATAACAGATGTTTAGTATCTTTAAAACTCTTCTTTGATATAACAATTCATTGTACTACTCATGCCAAAATGTGCAAAGCAAAATTCTGAACTTAATGTTTAAGAAATGTATTTTAGTTACATTTGGTATCAATGTTATTTCTCTAAGCTTTATATTGAGAATACAGTCCAGCATCATTATAAATCTTCAAGAGAAAACTGCATTACTGTGCACAACTTTAATAATTTGTAAGATCTCTGTAACTTCCTAGAGAAACAAATTTTACGTAGCAGTTATGAAAAGTTTGGCATCCAGGGCACTGAGGTCGGACAGCTTTCTGTGTGTTTTAGGTGGCACTCTGAACACCAAATAGTATTGAAAACACCAACAAAAGCATCGCGTTCATAGACTATTAAAAACCTCATTTCGTATAGTAAGTCTTAAAGAAGTAAAGCAACGGATTACAGAGGTTAGATCATTTTCCTAAGAAAAGTTGGAATCCATCTCTTCTAGTTAGACCAAGGTCACCTTCAACTTATTCTCTAAAAATAAGGCTGCTGCTGACAGTTGTCAGCAGGGTGTCTGGTAAGGAGAAGCTGAATTCTAGCCCAGCCCACACCACGCTACTCAGAGCAAGGGGTGCCTTTTTCTGACATAAAGCTGCTATCCACATGCCAAGCTGGGCATTTAAGGAGCTATATTAGAGGGAGTGCCATTTTCCAAATCCCTCAGAGGCACCATATGGGACTATTGCCTAAAGTCCTCTTCACGTCGGTCTATTTAAGTCCCCACACTTGGAGAGTCCCCAAGCCTATTCCTGTTGATTCACCGAAACAGTTGTTACTCTATACCAGACAGATATCCATCAGACAACTTGTCCATGGTTGGAAACATGACATTAAGGAAACAAACTTCAATAAACATGACTAAGAATGTAAACAAAACATAAAAAAAAAAATGATGGCTAACCTCTAGTTCCTTTTCCTTCATATCCAGTTCTCGTCTCTTTTTATTTAAAGTATCCAAGTGTTCTTTTTGTTTCTCTTCATAGTGCCGCTTCCCTCGTTTTTGGTTATCCACTTCAGAATCAGCCAGGTTTAATTCATCCTGTTTGAATAAAGCCAAAATAATCTATAAAGAAAAGATTGTTTTAAAAAAATTACCCGCATAGGTACAAAATTAACTAACAACTCAATAAAGTGGATAGGAGCATGCTGCTTGAAGAGGCAAGTATGAAAGTTCCTGTCTGTATGTACCTGAGCGAGGAGTTTCCCAAAATTAAGAAGTTACATTATTCTAATCAAATTCTTATATGAAGTCTCCATATATTATAGTGCTTTCAACTTTATTTTGGTAAACAAGGTAGTTTTGTGGGAAGCTACATTAGCCTGAAAAGACTTAAAACAATGCAAGTGTGGGCTATTTACAGAGGCCACTTGGTTTTAAAAAAGGTGACTCGGGGTGGAGGAGGAAAGGATGCAAAGAAATTTAACAGACTTATTTAGTCATCATTTCGGGAGATATAATCTCACAATTTTGAGCACAAAATATAACCGTAAAGAAGCTATCCCAAGATCACTTTAAAAATAAATAGCAGTAGACTATGATACGGTAAAGATGCATATTGTGATGAAGAGCAATCACCGGGGAAAAACAAAGTTCTGGCTAAAAAACCAGTAGAGGAGATTTGAAAAAGGAAGACTAAAAATTACTTGGCTAATCCCAAAAGACGGAAATAAAGAGAGGAAATAGGAGAAGAACAATTAAAACACAAACAGCAGCCAGCCATTACTTTGAAGATGAAGTACTGAATGCTTTCTTTTTTAAGAGCAGTACCAGGTACTATAGCATTAAAAACATCAAACATATATCTAGAATACATAAAGAACACTTAAAACTTAACAATGAAGACACGTAATACAAGTGAAAAAACGGCAAAGATTTGAAGTCATTTCTCCACGGAGGACATACAAATAACCAATAAGAAAATGAAAATTTGCCCAACAGACTTAGACATAAGAAAAACACAAATCAAAACCACAATAAGATACCACTTCACACCCAATAGGATGGTTAAAATAGGAAATGCATACGATAACAAGTACAGGCAAGGATGTGGAGAATTTGGACACACAAACATTGCTGGTGAGCATGTAAAATGGTGCAGTCACTTTGGAAGATGGTTTCAAAGTTCCTCAAAACTCAGTATAAGCATGTAGCCCAGCAATTCCGCTCTTAGCTATCTATCCAACAGAAATGAAAACACGTATCTATCCAAACACTTGTACACAAATGTTCACAGCAGCAGTACCCAAATGACCATCAACTGATGAATGGATAAATAAAATGAAGGACACCCGCACAATGGCATATTACTAGCGAATACAAAGGAATGAACTACTTATATATCCTGGAACAAGGATAAACCTGGAAAATATGCTAAATGAAAGAAGCGAGCCACAAAAGACCACATACTGTATGATTTCACTTACATGAAATGTCCAGAACAGGCAAATCTATAGAGACCGAAGTAGTGGTTGCCAGGAGACAAGTGGTTGTGCAGGATACAAATCCTGAACATATTTTGTTAGATTTACATAGAAATATTTCTCTTTTTTGAGCAACTGTGAATGGCATTGTAATTTTAATCTCAGCATCCATGTGTTCATTGCTGGTATATAAAAATACAATTGATTCTTGTATGTTTATCTTGTATTCTATGACTCTGCTGAACTCATTTATTAGTTCTAGGAGTGCTCTTGTAGACTTGGAATTTTCTAAGAGAACAATCATGTCATGTGCAGGAGAGAGAGTTTTATTTCTTCCTTTACAATCTGTATATGTTATTTCCTTTTCTTGCCATATTGCACTGGTTAGAACTGCCAGCATTGCATTGAGTAAAAGTGGTGAGAAGGAACATTTTTGCCTTCTTCCTATGTTAATAAGAGGAAGGTTGTTAGGAAGGTTGCAGGTTGTTTGTTGATGCTCTTTAATGTGTTGAAGAAGTTCCTCTTTATTTCTACTGGTTTCTGAGTTTTCTTAAAATCATGAATGGGTATTGAATATTGTCAAATACTCTTTATGCACTGATTGATACAATTACACAATTTCTCTTCTTTAGCCTGTTAATAGGGTGGAATCAGTCTTGCATCCCCAGAATGAACCCTGTGTGGTTACTGTAAATAATCCTTTTTATGTATTGTTTTTCTAATGTATTATTTAGTGCCGTAAATTTCCCTCTCAGCACTGCTTTAGCAGCATTCCTCAAATTTTGATAAAAGTGTGTTTTCATTTTCATTTGGTTCAAAATATTTTAAAATTTCTCAACACTTTCTCTTTGGACCATAGGCTATTTATAAAGGTGTTAGTTTCATGTGTTTGGAGATTACCCTGTTACCTTTCTGTTAATGATTTCTCGTTTGACTGTATGGTGATTAGAAAACACACTTTACAATTTCAACTCTTCAATTTGTTGGGTTTTTCTAATGGTCCAGAAGATGGTCTATCTTGGTATATGCTCCACAGACCCTTGAAAATAAGGTGTATTCTGCTGTAGTTGAGTATTGTTCTACAAGTATTGATTAGATCCTGTAAGTTGATGGTCCGTTCAGTTTTCTAAATCCTTACTGATTTTATGTATAGTCATCCTTTCAATTGTTAAGAGAGTTCTATCATATTTTGCTGCTTATATGTTGCACCTCTGCTATTTGGTGCAGACATTTAGGATTGCAAAGTATTCTTGGTGGATTGATCCTTTTGACAGTATATAATGTCCTTCTCCATCTCTGATAATTTTCTTTACTTTGAAGTCCTCCTTATCTATTTTAATATAGGTGCTCCTGCTTTCACTTGATTATTATTTGCAAGATATATAATTTTCCATTCTTTTGTTTTCAACTTGCCTATACGGTTATATTGGAATTGACCCTCTTGTGGATAGCATACACTGTAGTCATGTTTTTAATCTACTTTACCTGTATCTGTCTTTCAATTGATTTATTTAGACCATTCACATTTAATGTAATTATTCATATTTTAGGGCTTAAGTCTGTCATTCCATTGTTTGTTTTGTTTTTTGTTTATCTGTCTTCTTTATCCTACCTCATATGGGTTACTTGGACATTTTTTTAGGATTCCATTTTGATTTATCTACAATATTTCTGAGTGTATCTCTTTGTATAGCTTTTTTAGTGGTTGCTCTAGGTGTTAAATTTATATTATATATACTCAACATCAGTCTACTGGTCATTATTTTACCAGTTTTAGAAGTATGTAAATACTTCTTTTCTATCCCTTTATCCTTCCTAATTTTTAATAAAATTATCTTAAACATTTCCTCTACATATATTAGAATCACCTCAGACATATGATAATTTCTGCTTGCTTTCTAAACATAATTTCAAAAACTCAAGAAGAGAAGGTAAGTCTATTGCGTCTACCTATTTGTTTATCTTGTTCTTCTTCCTTCGTGAAGTTTCAAAATTCCTTCTTTTATTGTTTTCTCTTTGATTAGAGAACTTCTTTTAGTCATTCTTTTAGAACAAGTCTGCAGGCAATAAATTCTCTACTAAGTTTTCCTTCATCTAAAAGTTTTGATTTTCCCTTTATTGCTGAAAGACATTTACGCTGAACATAGGATTATAGGTTGACTGGTGTTGCTTTCAGCACTTGAAAAATGTGCTACTTCCATGTGGCCTCTATGGTTCCTGATGAGAAATCTGCTATCATTCAAATAGTTTTTTTCCATATAGGTAAAGAATACCTCTTGCTGCTTTTAAGACTTTTTCTTTGTCCTTAGCTTTCAGAAGTTGACTGTGATGTGTCTTACTGTGGATTACTTTGGGTTTATTCTGTTTATGGTTCACTCACTTTGTTTAATCGGTAGGGTCAGGCGTTTTGCTAAATTTGGGAAGTATTCAGCCATTATTTCTTAGAATACCTTTTCAGCCCTGCCCTCTTTCCCCTCTCTTTCTGGGACTCCGATGACATAAATGTCAGATCTTTTGTTACAATCTCACAGATCCTTAAGGTGTTACTCAACTTTTTCAGTCTATTTTCTCTCTGTTGTTCAGATTAATAAGGGATGGTAAGAAAATATTATGAACAACTTCAAGCTGAATATATATGACAAATTTAGGTGAAACAATAAAATCCCTAAGGAGAAAACTTGAATAGCTCAGTATCAACTAAAGAAATTAAATTCATAACGAAATTATAGGCCACAAAGAAAACTACAGGCCAAGACAGAGCTTTGCTGGTAAATTCTATTAAATATTTAAGGAAGAAATAATTCCAAATCTGCCAAAACTCTTTCAGAAAAGGGAAGAGGAAACGCTTCCAAACTCATTGCATGAGGCCAATATAGCCATACAAAAAGAATCAGGGAAAGACATCACAAGAAAAGAGAATCAAAGACTAATGAACAAACATAGCATCAAAAATCCTTAATAAAATTTTGGCAAGTTGAATCTAATCACTTCTAAAAAGGAAAATAATTATGACTGTAAGGGGTCTGCCAAGGTGACTTTAATATTTGGCCAAAAAAAATCAATATTATTCTCTGTATTAATTTAAAAAAAAAACCCAGATGATTATGGTTTTCAACAGCCCATAATCCCACCCCTAGGTATTTAACCAAGATAAACAGAACATATGTTCATACCAAAACCTATACTTGAAGGTTTATAGTAGCTTTATTCATAATCACCAAAACTGGGACCATCTAAATGTCCTTCAAGAGGTGAATGGATAAGCAAGCTCTGGTACATCTATAAATGGAATTATAACTCAGCAATAAAAAGAAGCTATTGATACAGACAACAGTATGGACAATCTCAAATACACCATGCTAAATGAAAGAAGCCAGACTCAAAGGTTACCTACAATATGATTCCATTTATATGATATTTTATGTAAAAGGCGAAAACACAGTGATGGAGAACCAATCAGTGATTGCCAGAGGTTAAGTGTGGGAGAGGTTTGACTAGAATGGGGCAGCATAAGGGAATTTTGGGGGGATGATAGAACTGTTCTGGATCTTGATTGTGGTGTTAGGTACATAACTCTATGCATTTATCAAAACATATAAGTTTGCACAAAAAAGAGTGAATTTTACTGTGGGTAAACTGAAACACACATTTTTAAAAGTGCTATATTCAAAATACAGATGAAAGAGAAGACCAAAGCACTAGAAAAATGTATTACTCAACTATTCTAATTACCCCAAATACAGCTCTAGGCAAGATAAAGATGCCAATGCTGAAGACACATGTGAAAGGTTACATAAAATTAATTCATGAAATGTGAATGGAAACAAAGTACTATTTCTAAACGTTAAATATATCACTTTGTGTACATGCTTCTGAGTTCATGTATAACTAAATTAATAAACTGAATGTCATAAGTACACATTTGATTATTTTACCTCATAATTTCACATATGAATGGTAGTCAAAATATATTTTCCCTTGTTATTGTGACCATGGGAGTTTGCCATATATTAGGGTATATACAGTATATGACTTTCTTTAAAGGAGGCATAGCTTGGTGGAAAGATTTTAGAAGATGATATATGCACACAGCCATTAATTATGGCCCCTTTCTCAAAGAACAATCCATAGATTGACTATATTATAATCAATTTTGACATTTTAATAAATAGATAGATTTCTAGAATCCACCTTTAGAGATTTTGTTTTAGCAGGTCTGGAATTCCCGAATCTCGATTTTTAAAATAGCTCATGATTTAACAACCACCAAATGAGGGTTTAGATTGTCAGATAGTCTGGTCATTTAGTTTGATACACAAAGACTTGTACACAAATGTTAAGAGCAGCTTTATTTCTAATTGCCCAAGAGTAGAAACCCATATATCCATCAACAGGTAAATGGATAAACAAATGGTATCAAACACAACGGAATACTACTTGGCATTAAAAGGGAATGAATTACTGATTCAAGTAAAAATATGAATATCATAATCAAACAGAAAAACTTATTCTAGTCACTCACTTTTTCTTTAAAAACAAGGAGTGTATATACATTATGTGCTTAGACAATATTAGGTTCTGAAAAAGGTCAGATCAAAAAAAAAGCAGGCGTGCATAATGTGTGATTCCATTATAGACAATTCTAGAAAATGTGCAGACTATAGTAACAGAAAGCAGACTGGTGGTTGCCTGGGGACAAGGTGCAGAGAGTGGAAAGGGACAGATCACAAAGGGGCAGGAGCAAACTTTGAGCATGAAGGGTATGTTCCTTTTTCTAACTGTGTGGTTCCACAGGTATATACATGTCAAAATGTATCAAATTGGACACTTACATGTGTATTTACTGTATGTCAATTATATCTCAATGAAACTTTTAAAAAAGGCTCCTGATTTAAGAACCACCAAATTAAATTTTAGCTAGTTTGCCTGTTTGTTTTTGACCTTAGCACTGGTCATATATACTATGATTATCATGACAGGCCTCATTAGTTGCAGCTATAAACAAAGAAATAAACACAAAGCAAAACAGCAATAAAAGCATCATGAAAGACAGAATATTTGGAGATATCCCAAGAAGGAAAAGAACTTGTCAAGTATCTAAAAATAGAAAATATTTACCTCATATAACATATAAGATTGAGGCTATTTCCTAATCTAAGAATACTATTTATTGCATCTTGTTCATACTGCTAAAAATAACTATTACCCATGGTAGACACCCGATCATACATAGCTTTTATAAAGGAGTTCTGTTAAAAATAAAAGCGTTGTTACATGGAGGATGGAGATAAGCTGTTCCTTTACTCCAGAGTGAAGGAAAATGGGTGCAATTTATGCAGTAGGAAATATTACAACTAAAAATTGGAATAGCTTATGAAACAGAATGGTTGAACACTAAGTTTTCTAATCATTTTTGGTGGAAACTTTCTAAATAAATAGGCCCACATTTGCTTTAGGGAGCCAAAGGGGTAAACTATATCAGGATATATTTGTGCTGGTTAATCTTTCCTCCTGAGAACTTCGGAAAGAAAAGACCTAACTTGTAAAATAGTATGAAAAGAACTATAGATGCTAATATCTCTTTCTCCACTTTTATCATGGCTGTTTGATTTGTCCTTGTATATTCAATAAATTTATGTTGTGAGTACCATCAAATTTAAAACTAAAAGGGAAGTAAGAGAGTATTTCATTTCATTTCATTTTGCTGATGGTGAAACAGAGACCTAGAGATATTAAAAGCCAGTTGATGACATTCATCCTGGTTTTGGGGTGAGGACTAGGATGGATTAGGTCTAAAATTAAACTTTGATATGGCCCTAAACCTACAGAGTTTCTAGCCTTTAAGAAATTACAGCTTTTAAAAAAGAGGCTGAGATGCTAGAAGGTATCACTACAAACAGAATCATTGAAAAATTTTATTCTCTTGGATGCCTAAATAACCAATTCTAGTTACTTAGCAACACTGGATAAATTGTTACAGTATGTATTACTGTCACTTGTTTCACATAAACCTACATTAATTATGAGGTTTTAAAAACTATAAAACATTAGATCTTGGAATTTTCAAAAGTACAGTCACCCTCAATCCAAATAAACTCTCCATCTATATCAGAAACTGAGAGGCCCTCCGACTCCAACAATGCAAACCATCTATCTTCGTAGGTTCAATGTGGGTCACACTCCCTGCCCGACAAATTTAATTTGCAACTAAAGCATTAAGTTTGCAGTATAAATCAAAGTAAACTGTTCAGTGAGAAAAATATTCCTGATGCTAAGATTTCATTGACTACATATTTAAACAGTACTCTACTCCTCACCACCCCTGACACGAATGAACAAAGGTCCTAACAGCAAATAGACCCTATCTAGAAGCTGCTAATATATCATGATGGCAGCTTCTCAGGAATTAAATCATCCTGCTGGCCAAATCCTCTTGGTCCTGTCAATGCTGGCCTAGGGTGGTGTGACACATCAAAGGAAAAGGTCCTCAGCTACCGGCTGGTCGCATGCAGGTTCACTGAAGACTCATCTCCTCGCTGTCAGTTATCTGCAGCCAAGGCAGAGAGCTAAGACCAAGGATTCTTACTGCCTCCTGCCCACATCTGCTGCTCCTGAACTTGTTTATAGACTCCAATTCCAGGAGCTGCTTTAGCCTAGAGGTCCCTAAAGAACAGAACACAGCTTACTCTTCATCGTTTCTTGTTTTTAATTGTAAGTTGTCTCCGATAAATAATTTATTTTATTTCTTCTTATTCTATTTTCTCTTAACAACTACTTTTGTCTTCTTTGTTATCTTAGGTGTTTTGTCTTTTTAATTCTATCTTTTGTAGCAACTACTTTCTTGTCTTTCTCAATATTATCTTTCCTCACAATTTTAATATTTAAATTTTATATTCTTCTTAATCAGTTAATTTATAAGCCTATTTTCCCATTTATTTATTCTTATCTCAAACAGAAAAAACGAAACCACCTTGGGTTCTAAGGGCAGACAGGAATCCCAGCTCTATGCAGAGCAACTACAGAGAAACCCACCACAAACAAGGGAAAGCTGTTTCTAGGCGGCTCCTCTTATAACTCCCTTTAATATTCTCCCAACTCTTTTAAATTACCTTTTCCAAAATTTTCAATGGAGACAATTACAATAAAATTTATATGCATGCAAATTCTTTTAAACTTTTAAAATATCTAAATACATTTTGATTCAACGGGGGTAATTTTCCTGCAAAAAAAGGGGAGGTATATTAGAATACCATCAACATACCTCTCCTGCTCTTAAAATATTTTATTCATTCTTCTCAGCCTCTTATAAATAAAATTTGAAGTTCTGAGAACAATTGAGCTATTCACAAAAAATGATAATGACAATAAGCCATTGATAACTAAGCTAATAAACATGGTGAAATTTACACAGTTTAATTGGGAAATAACTTTATTTTCCCTAAATTTGGTTTCAAAAAGCATATGTTAAAAAAAATGTCAATTAAATTCAAGCTAGAATATAATTGAGACACGCCAAGTAACAGGAATTGGGGAGCACTTTATGTGAAGTTGGCTTTTATATCAACTAATCCTTGAGTTTTCTGAAGGAAAGGTGGGACTAAAGAACAGGCAAGCAGAGAAACAGTATAGACAGACAAGACATCCCTGCCTCTGGCTCTAAAAAAAGAAAAAAAAATCATAAAATAAAGAGGGAAAAAAAGCTGTAATCTTCTGGAGGAAAAGGAAATTTGGCAATCTATTCTTCTAAAGGTATGAACGGAAGTGTTTAATTCTAATTGATCTAATGATGAAAATTTGGTTTCCATCCCATTTTTATGTGGTTATATTTACATTTAACCATAAATTCTGGGTTAGGGCACTATCTAGTGAGTACATTGTAGACATAGAACTGAAACATAAAATATAGACATAACAGAATAACAATAATATATACCTTCAGTGGATCTGCTAGCTCGGATAGCTGATTGATTTTCAGTTTAATTGCATCATACTTGTTTTCTGCTTCTATTTTCAGACTTTTTAGATATTCCATATTTTCTTTATGTTGTTCCATATTTTTCTCAACCATTTTCATTTTGATTTTATTTTCCTGAGCTTCATCCTCCTGGTTACATTTACAGAGCACATAGAGTTAATTAAAATATGTAAGTTATCAAATAAAAAATACTACAAAACAATTCTGAGGAGAAATTGAAGGTTATAGGCAAATCAGATCAAAGACAAATACAAAGAACACTAGGATATTTTCACATCCTTAATGGTAAATTAGGAAGTAGAAAAAAACATTTAAACATAAAAAGGGATGGGGGCTGGCCCTGTGACCTAGTGGTTAAGTTCAGCACTCTCCACTTTGGTGACCCAGGTTTGGCTCCTGGGCTTGGACCTACACCACCTGTCAGCCATGCTGTGGCAGGACCCACATATAAAATAGAAAAAGATGGGCACAGATGTTAGCTCAGGGTGAATCTTCCTCAAGCAAAAGAGGAAGATTAGCAACAGATATTAGCTCAGGGTAAATCTTCCTCAGAAAAAAAAGAGAAGGGAAAACATGAGCAGACAAGTTAAACTATATTGTGTTTGAGGTCATAATCAAAAAGAATAACTTTTATTCTATCTACTCACTTTCTCTTTTAAAATATAGTGTACAAAAATGTATATCTTGTGCCAGACAATGTGTTTGATGATGAGTCAACAAAAATAAAGACGACATAGTCCATACCTTTAAGAAACTTAGTCTATCAATAAAAGGAATTAAAATAGAAAAACCCAAAGTGAAAAATAAGATTACTAATAAAAAAGGAAGACAAATTCTCATTAGAATAAAGCTCCACTGGCACAGCGGCTTTATGAGTCTTGTTTCTTGTTGAATCCCCCAACACCTAACATGGTGCCCAGTACAGAGTAGACACAATAAATATTTATCCATTTTAACAAGACTCTACAATCTATGTAATCCGTGGCTTACTGCAACTCAGAGAAGCTAAGCTGAATATTATAAACAGTTGCCTGAAAAAAAATAAAAATAGAGTAACAAATTTGTGGTGAATTAAAATGAAAACCATTAACTTGGAAAAAAAGAAAATAATGCAAAGAGACCAACTAGAATTGACTAAAAGATATCCATTACTAATGATACTGATTAACTCTGAAAAATGCTATGCTAGGCAGTTTGGTTTGAAAGGGCATGGTTTAAAAGCACAATTAAGCTGTGATAAAGTTTTGTTTTGTGTAGTAGAAGACAAAATCAATTATTTTGCATGCAAATGATATAGACAAAACAAAACATTAAGGAACTTGAAGGCCAGATGCCAGGGTAGTTTCTACCTTATTTGAAAACAGAGATACCAATCAGAAAAAGTAGCCTCAATTAAAAGGATTTAGAAAAACACCTGAGAGTAGGTGCTATTAACCTAAATGATAGTTTTGTCCTTTAACACTACATTTAATTTGAGGAAAAGAATCTTACCAAGGTTGCAATATCTACAGACTGGTGTTCTTCTATATTCTCAAGCTCCCGAATTTCGGAAATAGTTTTTCTTATTTTCACCTGAAAAAAGTATTTAGATTTTAGTAACATAAAAATAAATAAAAGATAAAAATAAAAACCTTGGAAAGGATGTTACTAATCCACAAAGTTCTCCTCTGCTTTATGTTACAGAAGGATTCTGGAGTTAATGAAAGAGACAGGTTAGCATTAAATGAACCAAAAGTAGTTATTCATAAAGTCTGCCATAATCACCCTTATTGTTAATCCATTCCTATGCAAAAAAATTTTAACTACACTCCACCTTAGTATTTAAAATGATGACAAAGTTGAATTCACAGAATATTCAGAAAATATTTTTCTGAAACACCCAGTCTCAAGTTATGGAACGATTACTCTGATCCAGTGGTTCTCGAAGGACAAGCCAAGTAGCCCCTGGGTGCCTCTGAGACTCTTTCACGGGATCGTGAGGTCAAAATTATCCTCATAAAAACACTAAGACATTAGTCACCATTTTTGGTATCACTTTCTCACAAGGGTACAAGAGGTTTCTAACTCTATGATGTGTACGAAATATTTCAACAGACTGACTGCAGAAGCTGATATGACAATGCAGCTGAATTTTATTAAGCCAGATATTAAAGCTTTACAAAAACATAAAAATGTCAATCTTCTTACTAAATATTTTTGTCTTTGGAAAATAATGTTATTTTTTATAAAAACATTATTTAACACACAGTGAGATTATTATTATTTGTATATGAACTAATAAATATTCTTAAATTTTGTTTTACTGTTTAACAATGCAAATACTGACCAATAAAACCCACATAAATGAAACCTCTTTTAAGGCACTTGAGGCCAAAAAGTTTGAGAACTACTCCTCTAACTAAATGAATGGGAGGATCTTAAAAATAACTTGGAAGTGATAAGCTGAGAAAAACAAAATGATGCATATTTTTTCACCTTTAACTCTTTATAATGTAGTTGGCACCTTCTAAGAAATTCTTCATTGCGTTTAATATCCTTTTCAAGGGCAGATAAATGCTGCTGAAGATTTGAGATCTGGGCCTTCTTATTTTCAACCTCATTCTCCAAGTCACTTGCGAGAGAGGAGAGGATAAAAAATACTGTAAGTCTATGTCTAAATATTACAAATACTTTAGATCTTTACAAAGAAAGGCTTATTTGTAATAGCTTATTTGCAAAACCCTATCCAGTTAAGCCAGTTCTTTATTCCTACCAAGTTATTAATAACATGAAAATACAGAGATTGCAAAAAAAATCTTCTTAACTGGAGTCATAGCTCACCAATAAGTATTTACCATACAATTTCTGGGCGGCAGGCATGGTGTACAGTGATAGGCAAAAGTAGAAACAGAATTAAGACATGAAGGAATCAAACAAAAAGGAAAAAAAATCAAGAAATAAACCATAACATTAAAATGTGAACAGGATACTATACTCTATGCCCGCAGTACTACAGAAACATAAGAGTGAGTCTGAGAGAGGTGCCAACTGAATTGTACTCTCTAAAGTTTTCATCAACTGGACCAACTGGGGGCCAAATGGAAAAAAATATACAAAGGCACAGAGAGATGAAAACAGATAAAACTGATAGTCAGCTCAACACTTACTGTAGGTGAATAAAAGAATGTGTGGAGAGTGAAAGGGACGAGGAGGAGGCCAATGAAGAGGGATGGAGAATAAAGTAGACAGATGCCAAAGTCATAAAGGGTCCCTGTGCCAGCAGAAATCAACTGTCTTTAGAAAAGATCTTTTCCCAACTCACTGAACTGAGCACCTGTCTCCCAAAGCTGTGCGCCTGGTGGAAGACAACCACCTGTGAGCTAAGAAAAACTTTTCTGATTGGGAGCGTATGCCGTATTTCATTAAGATGTATATTCTTCCACATTTTATCATCTCTGAGCTCTGAAATCGTCTTCCAGTCCACGGTTCAATTACAGTATTTTCTCTTTTTTACTCACATATAAAATAATAGAGCATCTTAAATTTGATGAAAGATTATAACTGTGCTACCTTGCTAGAATTCTCAAAATTTTAAAAAAAAAATCAATAAATGATAGCTGAATGAGTGATACATGAATAATAAAAATGAGGAAAGGACAAGAATAATTGTGGTATTTCTGGTAAAACTGGGGCCAGATGCAAAAACTTAAGAGGGCTCCTGAGGATTTAATAAAAAGTTTATTTTACCACATATAAATCTCTACCTTTATTAACAGTTAATTGTGCTTAAAAAAAATTACCAAGTAAACAAACTTTGAAACCTAGAGCTTAAATCAAAATTAAAAACTGACAAAATGAGCACCGAAAATATTCTATTATATAATTTTTTGATGTTAAGAATAAAATTAGGCAATCATAATTTATATGAACAAAACCGTTAAATTTTACAACTTCCTTTTTGCTGGGTAGGACAAATTCTGTTTCATGTTTTCACATAGCGTTTCTCCCTACTTTCTCATTAACTTTTACACGGAGAAAGACCATCTGCTCCCTAAAGAGAGACATATTAAAACTGCGCAGGCATGCATTGTTTGTGTGGGATGAATACACGTCTCCAGAGCAGCCTGTCCCAGTAGTGCACCCCTCACTTTGCATGCCTTACACTCCATTACACCCCGCACTCGCTAGACCATGCTCTGGCGGTCTAAGTGGAACAAGCCAGACACGAGAGGTTGCATATTATATAATGCCATTTATATGAAATATCCAGAACAGACTGATGCATAAAGACACATTCAAAAGCAGACAAGTGGTTAACAGGGGTTGGGGGTGAAGGGAATAGAGAATAACTACTTGTGGGCATGGTTTTCCTTCTGGCGTGATAAAAATGCTTTGGAATTAGACAATGGTAATGGTTGCAGACCTTGTGAATAAAATAAAAATCTCTAAATCGTATACTTTTAAAATAGAGTGAATTTTATGGTATGTGAATTATATCTCAATTTTAAAAATCATATGTATATGGTATAAATATATAAACTGTTTTGGAAATACATATAAGAAACTGCTAAACTATTTCCTTACTGTTGAAAAAGGGAGGAGGATGAAGGGTTTCACTTTACGTCTTTCTGTACCGTTTGAATTTTCTCACCATACGCACATATTACTTCTAATTATTTTTAAAATGTCAATAGATACTATGGAGAAATGGGATTATGAGCTACTTTTGTCTTCCAATTAATATTTTTCTGTATTTAAAAAACACTATTGAATCTTTTTAAACTTCTAAATATCAGACAACTATCATACTGGTTCAGGTCAAAACAGAGGACACAAAGTCATTTAAATATCATCAGAACTTGGTATATTTTCAAGCAATGAAGTTTTCAATGTGGTAAACAATTTTTTAAAATCCACTGTTCATGGGGCTTTTAAAAGAAAAGCGTTTTTTTGTCCATTACACATTAATACAACACTTTTAGCTAAAAATGAAGCCAAATATTGACTGCAAACATTAAGTTTTGAAACTTTATTACTAAAATGTAGAATCAGGGATCCTAATTTGCTGCAAGATAGACTTAATCTTTTCCAAGAGTACTATACTTATTTTGTTTTAAGACTTGGGACACGAATGCATGAGGCATTTTTGTCGAAAGAAGTGTGAATTACACAGAGTAACACTACCAACACCGTTTATATATTTGCACTCCTGTTTGCTTGAATACCATATAATTTAGTCTTGTCCAGTTAGAATTAGGAATGCCTGATTTAAATGTCCTGGCACAATGGATAAAACTTTATCACGTTACAGGTCACTCTCATATAGATGCATTCAAACATTTATGGACTTTCGTTTATCCTATCAGAAAGATTCAGTGTCAATTTAAAATGTGTGCTGGGTGCCACAACACCAAGTTGCTGATCATTTAACTTTTTTCTGTTGCTCAGTTGAGATTTTACTCAACTTTACAATAATTATTACAATTATTTTCCTTTATGCTGCTCTCATAATCACACTAAAATGACTACTATTACTTAGCAACAGGGAATCTATTTCAACAAAACTCTCATTTCTCCTACACACACAAGTCATTTAGAATACTTACACTTTTACTCAATTTTCTTAGATATTTCTTTTACTTAAGTGGTAAGTTCTTCTACCTAAGGTCTGGTCACTGATTCAGTTTCAACCCATCAATTCATCAACTGAAGTAGTTCGTTTGGAAAATCACGTTTTTTGTACCAAAAATTCTTTTTGCATGCTCTTGACCCTCATTAAATACACATTACTTTTTCGTTCAACTTCTCAATTTGTCTCCTCTAGCAGTTCTATTTTCCTAGGCATGTGTTCTTATGGTGCCAACTGATCTTCTTTCTAAAACAGTGCAACTCAAAGTACCAGTCAGAGACATAGTACGGAACCTGAGACAGAATGTAGACCAGCATACTTGTACTCTCATTACGAAAAATCAGCAGAACTACACAATGGGCATAGTGATGTAGCTGATTTCTATTCTGAGTTAAGCTCCTTACCTCCTTGCAGACAGGTTATAGACAACGTGCAGATCAGCTGGTCAAGGGAACACACTTTGTGATCTCAGCCCAGAATACTGTCGTCAAAGTGATGATGGAAAATAACTGTCAACCTAGAATTCTATATCCAGCTAAATATATTTTTAAGAACAAAGAGATTACTCACAATTCTTCACTGAAATAACTACTAATAGAGTAATATGAAAAGAACTGAAGCCTGAAGGAAGCAGTGGGAGTAATATGGTAGAGCTACAATGGACACTAACCTTATTTCAGAATCCACATCTCTGCTTAGAAACTTCGGTCTTGTATGTTCAGATGAATAATAACGTTCTTCAAAAACCTGATCTCCGTCAGCAGTAAAAGCTTCTCTACAGTTCTTGGGTGGCTTTTGGGACTGCATCACTGCACGAGCTACAGAATTGTTCTGAAAGAGGAGGAGAAGGAATATATTTTTAAGTTCTGTCAAAGCACTTCTGATGCATACAGTTTCAAAATGTTACCTATCACTAAGATTCAAGTATTTTTAAACATTCTAGTAAAATAATTCCATAAAGTTAAATAAAAGTTTTAAAAACAACTTTCAAGATTCAAAGAATTAAAACTGTTAAGTCTTTAAAATAATGTAGTAAACAATGCTTTATGACAAACTGATATATTTTATTTTTAAATCCTAATATCGCTATACATTTAAAATTACAAATTACTGTACGTATCTTTTCACATGGAAATATTTACTTTAGCTCAGTTCACACAAATCTTATTTTTTCTAAGTTTTACACCCTAAAGAAGATGTGAGTGAATAGCAAATTCCAATAAAAGTTTAGTATACTGAATATGTAGGGAAAGCCTAGAAATATTTAAGCTCTGGAGGAAGTAAAAAGGGATTAAGCTTACTGGAGGCCTAGTCAACCTCTCTGGAAAGATCTTTACAATAGGACTTCATTATTTTCTTTCAAGTATTCTTCTAAATTATGAGATAGCAAAGGCCACAAATAATTACAATATGAACTTGCAATAGATATACACACAACTTGGATTACTGATACCATTACTTCTCCATTTCCATTAATGAGAAAAACAGACTCTATCATGATTGTCTTGATTACAGATTTCTGTTTTGAATTTCCTTGTCCCTTTTCAGCAAATTTATGTCAATAGATGAAACACAATATGATGACCTAATCCAACAAGTACATAAAAATATACACACAGAAGAAAAGTAAATATTGATTTATTTTACGGGACTCAAAATTTTAAGAATAAAAATTAATAAAATATCAAGTAAAGTACTTGTTTAAAAAGCAGAACAGTAATAATACATGTATCTGTGAGGATAAATAAAAAATGGATTTGCCAGCTAATCAAGAAAGAATGAACAAAAAAATTTTATAGCATCATGAGCCAAAAGAATAATATATACTAGCAAAATTATTTTATGAAGAACAGTCAAAAGTTATAAAAGTTTCCTGGGGCAGAAAATGCACAACCAGCTCTACATGATTGTATAGATTTTCCTATGGGGTAAAAAAGTACAATGGTAAAACATATCAACAACTCTATGATACAGAAGGGGAATAGGAATTTATTTAACCAACTTCAGTTTTGAAAACTTAAAAATAATATACAATACAGCAAATACTTGGTCTTACTTTGATTAGTAGCACAGTCTCTATGCCTCTCATGTCAATTAGGCTGTTTGCAACAACTGCATTATCTATTTCTAAAGCTTTCAGAACCGTTGGAAACTCTGGATGATAAGCAGCTCTAGGAAATAAAAATATATAAGTATTAACTTATCAAACTTTAAGTTTATAGATATATTTTTTAATGAGTGGGTAGACAATAATAAGCCAATGGAAAATATCTAATAACATTTCAGAACATCTGTAATAGATTTAATTTATTTTATTTACTTAGCAAATATTTATATAATACTATGTGCCAGGTACTATTTTAAGATTATAAATATGAGCTCATTTAATCCTCATAACAAGCATGAGATAGATAATGTTATTCTTTCGTTTTTTTAAGATGACGAAGCTTCAGAAAGTTTAAGAAGTTCCCCAGTTTCCTAAGGCCGGTTAAGTGGTTGGGCTAGGATTTAAACCAGGCAGCTCAGCTCTGGAACCCAGATTCTTAATCTTTATGTCCTGTTGCCTATTATAATTAATAATTACAATTTCCTTAAATCTTATACTGCTATCATACATAAACATAAATGTCAATTAATTAAAACACATTTTAAATAGCTAAACAATTTTCCCACTGAGATAAGAAAAGCTGAAGTGAAATTTATTATCAACACAGAAGAAATATGAGCGAAAAGATACTCCTATTAATTGTAATTTGGGTTCCCTAAAAAGACATTCAATCTTTCAACAAAACAACTTAAACATCTGAGCTACTGACAGCACTGAAAAATAGACACACCAAGAACAGCAGGTGCAGGAGCCACGAATGGCTAAGGGGGAAACGATCGTGGCATCATTAGTGCAATCTTAGTCCTAGAGCTCCAAAACAAAGCCTGTATCTTTGTATATACGTTTAACATCTATTCATTCATTAATTCAACATGCATTTAATGATCATCTACTTTGTATCAGGTGTTGTTCAGAGGATGAGGAGACAGCAGTAAACAGAACAGATTATGTCCTTTTCCCAATGGAGCTCACATTCTATTGAAGGGAGACAGAGAATAAAGAAAAAGAAAAAGGGGCATAGAGTGCTTTTTCACACAAAAAAGGGTCAGGAAGCCTCACTAAGGTAATAGGGGGCAGATAACTGAAGAAATGGGAGAGGCACATTGGCATCCTGAAGAAGAGCATTCTGGGTCGAGGGAATGGCATTTGCAAAGGCCCTGACAAGGGGTGTGGAGGAACCAGGAGACCAGAGTGCTGGGGTGGCCAGAGCAGTGAGGCGAGGGCTTCTGGAGACAAGGACGGGAGAGACAGCAAGAGGAGAGATCATGGGGGCCCTAGAGGTTGCAGTAAAGCCTATAATAAGGGAAACGGGATGGGAAATGTATATGGTGCTCTGAGCAGAGGGGTGACGTGATCTGACTTTACTCTGCAATACTGAGTAGGGGTGGCGGGGAACCAGAAGCAGAAAGATCAGCCCATTGCAATACTCAAGTGAGACATGACAATGGCTTGAACCAGGGTAGTCACTGCAGAAATGTTTAGGTCCTGGATATATGTTTTAAAGAACAGCCAATAGGATGCAGTGTGGCAGAGAGGAGTCAAGGATGACTGAGGTTTTGGCTTGAGTAACTGAAAAATGAAGATGGGCAAGATGCTAAGAAGAGGAAGTTTTAGGGTAGAAAATAGGAATTTTGCTTTTAGACATGTTAAGTTTGAAATGTCGACTGGACATCAAAGTGGAAAATATATATTCAGTTTATTATATTCTGGAGTTCAGAGGAAAGAGCCCCACTAGAAACACTGATTTGGTAATCATCAGTGTATGAACTGTCTTTAAAGCTGTGAGACTGGAGGAGTTCGCCTAGGGAACAAGCGTACTTTGAAACGAGTTCTGGAGCACAGATGCAGTGAGAGGTGAGGCAGGAGCAAAAGATATAAAAAAGAATACCTAGAGATTCAGGAAAACCAGAGAATGAGGTCTTAGGAACATTCCAGTAAAAAGCGTTTCAGGAAGAATGAAAGGATCGGCTGAGTCAAATACTGCTGGTAGGTCAAGTTTGTGAGCAGGAAGGACAGACTACAGACTCAAGCAAAGAAAGGCTCACTGGTGCCTTGCTGTTCTGATATGTGGTGAAGTCATAAAGGCTTGACTGGAGCAGGTTCAAGAAAGAAGGGGAAGAGAGAAACGAGAGACATAGACCACTCTGAGGAGTTTTTCCTGTAAAAGGAAGCAGAGAAATAGGATAGTAAACGTAGGATGGAGTTCAAGTGGAAGTAAAAACAAGGATAGGAAAGAATGAGAAGTGGGTGTTCTAGCAATGTCAAGCAGTGTCAATCAATGAATCAAAGTCAACTATGAGCAGAGAAAGCAGAGGGAGAGGACGTGGTAGGAGATCCTGGTGAAATGCAGACCCTGGCCAGTCTGTTGAAAGCACAGGCTTCTGTGCTAGGAAGGAGCGACTATTTTTGGGCAGGCACACACCACTGCTAGACAAGACTGCTCCCCCCAGATTGTTATACAGCACCAAGTAACAACCACCCTGTCGTCCTGCTCTACTTCCTTGGATTTACTTCATCTTGGCTCATACCACAACTAGTTGCATGCTAAGAAATGCTATCAAATCAGTCTAGGAGAACCAGAAGTAGGAAGGAACAGTGGCAGTGAAGTATAAGTGACAGGAGACAAGGAAAGAACAATATGAAATAAGCTCACCAAACAATGTCAGGTAGAAAGCTTAAAGAGGACAGGAGAGACAGGAAAACTGCAGGCAAATATAATGAGCCTCACTGGTAAGAGGAGGTAAAAACAAAATGATTTGATTATCCTAATTAAGCTTAGAGGGAATCACTTAATAAAAACGTGATTTTTAAAGGCAAGTAATGGTAAAAATATCACAATCAAATTAAAATATAGAAAAAACATGTTTAAAATTTACAGCATGTTTTTTGTTTTTGCTTTTGTTTGCTGAGGGAGATTTGCCCTGAGCTAACATCTGTGGCAAATCTTCCTCTATTTTGTATGTGGGCCACACCACAGCATGGCCACCGACCAGCAATGCAGGTCTACACCCAGGAACTGAACCTGGGCCACTGAAGCAAAGCATGCAGGATATAGGAAGTGACAACAAACCAATGACAGAGCCTTCAGGAGCACCAAGATAAAAGGAGTGGGAGATAAAGAAAAGCTACCACATAGGCTGATAGCATCTGAAAGGTAGAAGGAGAACCCAGAAAGTAGTGTCACAGTGACCAAAGGAGCACAGGGGTTTCAAGGAAGGTATATTTAATGGTATCTAATGCCCAAGAGAAGGCAAATAAATACACAAAAATATATACATATACGTTGGATTTGGCAACAAGGAAATAGCTGAAAAATACAATGAATATTTCAGCAGCTAGATAGCAGTGAGTCAGGGAGTAAATGCACAGTCACCCCTAGGAGTAGGTCATTCTTCTGATGGGAGAGGCAAATCAGTGACCTAGGATGTTACAAGGGGAGAGAAGTCAACAGGGTAGCAAAGTTTAAGGCTCAGGAGAGAGCTGAATTAATTAAAAATGGTTCCTGAATCAGGCAGGAAAGTACGCAATTCAGAGCATAAGTAGAATAGCCTCAGGCAGAAAGAACATTTCTGTTGAGATGGGGGTAATAACAAGCTGAGTAGGGCAGTAGCCGCTACTTCCTGGGAAAAGAGGAATGAAGGCCCTTTTCATAGGAAAGGAAATGACATTTCCCCAATATCTCCCTGGGGAGCTAGGCATTTTTCTAAGTATCTTGGTTGAGGTTATCTAATTAAGCCTAATGTATCTGATTCATTCCACACTCTTAGAGAGTTTCACTGTTCTTTTCTACATTAAAATAACACGCCCAATTTTTAAGTTTAGCATTTGAAACACAACTTATACTGATAAAGTTCTTCACAAAAAAAGTCACCCCTTCAAAATGTTTATAAGGCAGCGAAAGTTGACAGGGTATTAAACATACTCAAGACTTGTCAATATCAATACCCAAAAGGATTACCATCCAACTTCCTCCACTCCTCCACCAACTTCAACCTACTCCTGAAGCTAAACATGGACTGTGTCATCCCTGGAGCTGCTCCCATGAGACTCTAACTTCCCACTCTCACTACAACCTACCATCTTCTAGGCTAATCCCACCTGTTAAACCTGCTTTCTAACTTCATCAAGGCTGAGCTATATATAGATTTTCTCCCAGGCCTCCTTCTCATCCCCATCTAGCCTAAAACCCATGGCCAATCATTGAACTACTTTCCCAGAAGCACTTTCTCACCCACGCTAAAAAATACCCACCCCCTCTAAAAAATTCTAATGCAATATTAATTCAACAATACACATTCTCCACTCAACTCTATTTAAAAAATCAAACATTATTAGTAAAAATTCCTGTAGCCACCATAGGTGTTTGAATCTCAAGTGAACTTTGGGTCAGCCTCCTCTCTCATTTTCCCAAACCTCCTACCCAACTCCCGAGGCCCTCGTTCTTAGCACATGAAATCACCTACTTCCAAGAAAAGTGACATTCTACTGCACAAACTTAGCTCACCTTTGCACCCCTTCACAGGAAACTGTAAATCACACTTGGTATATTGCTAAGAGAATAGAAACACATCTGGGAAACACAACATCCCAGCAGGTCAGTGCCAGGCCTTCCTCTTTATGGGAGGCTTTGCAGCAGTTCACAGAACAGTCCATACAGCTGTCCATGACAACTGGTCTTGCTCTCCAAAGGACAGTTCAGGTGCAGGAGGATATTCCTCAAAGAAGCCAGTATCTCTCCTAATAACCTCATGGGAATAGTTTCCAAGGTCCCATATGGAAATGCCCAAGTACAAGACTCACCATACTGGCTTCCCACCAGGTGTATAGAGTTCTCCCAGGCCAGATGCAGCTAACCTGTCAGGGGTCATTTTTACCATAAGCAATGCTGTCTGGTAGCACAACTTAAATTTCACTCTTACCAGGTCTTAGAAACCAGGGATCAGAGCTAGAAATTAACATAAAGTCAAGTTTTCAGGCAAATAGAGAAAACTCTCTACCCCTAACTCCCAAATCTTTATTTCTAGCCTAAAAGCTAAAAATCAACAATTCCACAACAGGACTTATCTACTTTTACAAAGCCACTTTTTTCTTATACTTCTCCTAAATCATTTGATGGCATATCTGTTAGGAAGTCACTCCAGCCAGAAATCTAAGAGTCATCCTCCATTCCTGCTTCTCTTACATTCAAGTAACACTATTTATTGATTTGGTCCTAAATATCTCTTTTAATCTGTTCCTTATTATCTATAATGCAGACACTATTTTTTGCAGAATAATTGATGAGGTTATGCCCCCATGCATTTTGCACATAGAATTCTATCTGCCTAGAAGGCAATTAACCTTTGTCTATCACTTGACAAAGCCATCACTTAGAAGATTGATCATTTATCCTCTCTTCTCTGATTTCTTTCCTAACCTACCTACTAACATTTAATTACCCCCTCATCTGAACTACATCTGCATCTTGTGATCCAATTTCATCAAAGCTGACAAAGAATAAATTAGAAAATATGTATATATTCAAAAGTAAAGTGACTAGCTAGCCAGCAGCTAGCAAAGAGGCCAATTTGGGTATTGTGCTCTTGAGAAGGTTTCTTAGGCTCATCAAAGAAAACAATCACAGCTCTTTAAGGAATCTGTGAAGCACCCTGACAGCTGAACTGTGGGTAACGCGTACCAAAGTTCTTCCTTAGTGCCTTTCTCTTAGTTTGCCTAGGTCTGCATCATTTCCCTCAACAGTAGAATTTCTATGCCACACTACATCTGGGTTTCCCTGTACTACCTCCCACAGTACAACTCCTATAAAGACCACGAGGGCAGGGAGTATCTCTTATTTATTTCTGTATCTCCAATATCTAGACTGAAATTAAAGAAGTGGCTTGATAAAATTTTGCACACCAGTAGTGTAGGTATGGTTAACATAAAAATGCTTTAATTCCTTCTAACCTTGCAGATGATTAAGCAAAAGCAGAAACAATATTTAATTACTGATGCCTTACTTGTGTCTTACATCATACATCTCATTCCGAAACTCAGACACTATTATCTGTGGCCGTGAGGTCCCTGGTGAATAAAACTTTTTCATCAGTGCCTGAAGAACTCTTTCATCAGCATGATTGTGGCAACAATAGGCTTGCAGAAGTCCTTTTAGGCAAGATTCAATAGCCAAAGCAAGCTCAGGGTCCCGAAGATGAATGCAAGCTCCTAAAAGTGAGAGAAAATTATTAAAAGGCCCATACTTACTTTGAAATATTAATGTAACTATCTTTTAATAATAGTTCATTAATGACTTCAAAATACTTTCACATAAAGCAGCTTAAATGATATTACAGATCTTACTTTCACTGAATGAGAAATCCCCACAGTTCCTTTGGACACAACAGGGAGAAAACCTACCAAATCCTGTGAAAAAAACTGTCCCACTCTAATGTAAATTAATAGTGGTTTTTCTATGTAAGTTTAAACTATTACAGTCTCTGAATGGTGTTCTGAAAATCAAGCCAAAAGGTTAATAGATTTCTTATAATTTTCTGTAAAACTAATTGATATTGGGATTTCAGATTTAGAGAGGGGAAAAAATGCCTCATCCATTGAAATGGATCCCAGGTATAAATGTACATACCATTTGAATGAAGAGACATTTCTACAATACTTAATATAGTATGTAATCTATACTTACACCGTACAAGCATACCTCATTTTGTGCTTCACTTTATTGTGCTTCACAGATATTGTGTTATTTACAAGACCTTTCACTAGCAAAAAGATTAGGACTAGGACCCACTGAAGGCCCAGATGATGGTTAGCATTTCTTAGCAATAAAGTATTTTTTAATCAAGGTGTCTACATTGTTCTTTTAGACATAATGCTATTGCACACTTAATAGACTACAGTATAGTGTAAACACAACTTTTATATGCACTGGGAAACCAAAAATTTCTTGTGAATCACTTTATTGCAATATTTACTTTATCACAGTGGTCTAGAATTGAACCCACAATATCTCCAAGGTGTGCCTGTAATATAGTACTTTACTAAGAAAATATATTTATATTTACAGAATCATTTTCACCTAACGATGTACAGAATTAGAGAAAACTCCTCAGAAGAACTCGATTTTTTTAAATCTCATGTATAAATGAGGATAATTAAATAACCCCAGATTTTACGGTTGGAAGAGGACTTAGAAAGAATGTTGGTCAACCTAAAGTGAAATTAGGAAAAGACAAGTCATTTTATAAAGGTTACACAAAACTCAGGTGTTGAGTGTTCTTTCCACTATATCTTGATGTAACTGGATTTTCCTACTAATCAATTACATTCAAATTAATTCATTCACTTGTTCACTCATCCATTCAGGAAAAAAATCAAAATCAGATTATTAAACTCTGTAATGACTTTTCCTTTTGTTAAATTCTCTTTCTTTTGGCTATTTTATGATTTAAAGATATAAAAGGAAAGTCTGAAAGTTTAATGTGATTTTTACCATTATTTAAAAATACATATATAATTAAAACCACACATAACTACACAGCTTTGATAATAGTTTTAAAATTAGATTCAACAGGGGCTGGCCCCGTGGTCGAGTGGTTAAGTTCGCGCGCTCTGCTGCAGGCGGCCCAGTGTTTCGTTGGTTCGAATCCTGGGCGCGGACATGGCACTGCTCATCAGGCCACGCTGGGGCAGCGTCCCACATGCCACAACTGGAAGGATCCATAACGGAGAATATACAACTATGTACTGGGGGGGCTTTGAGGAGAAAAAGGAAAAAAAAAAATAAAAATCTTTAAAAAAAAAAAAAAAATTAGATTCAACAGACCCCTTCCTGAAAAAAAAAAATTATTTCTAATGTTTACTACATCCTGACTAAATGGTGACAAATACCTAAAGGGCCCACAGGTTTACAGGTAAAACGCCCACGTCTATAAGCATCATCTATTGCTTCAAGAAGAGCTGGAACATTAGGGCCAAATCTTTTTAGGCGATCAGTTTTACTATCTTTCAATTCTTTCAGTTGCCTCTGATTATAGTTCAGCGTATGCCTCACATCTAATTCTTCTCTCCTAAAAAATAAAAGCACAAAAAAAGAACAAATACGTGATACAGTTATACAGAAATATTCAGCCTTTTCCCCTAACACCTGCAAACCAGTGACCCAGCTACCCTAAAAACTAAGAGCAAATTTCTTTATTTGAAAATAATTGTGTTACTAAAGAAAAACAGTCAGAAGTACTCAAAACTTAGCATGAGCTTAGCATGAAAAGAAATGATCGATAGTGATGAGGACTAGGAATCCCAGAAACTGTCCAACTCTACAAGTGTAAGAAAAGTCTTGGCAAAGTGATTTTAAAGGATCCCTGATTATGTAGAAGAAATGTTAAAAAACCATGTTTTGTCTCTTCATATAAAGAACAAAACTATATAATTTTCAATCGAAAAAAAACATGTTAAGGATGATGAAACCTACTTAATTCTGGTATGTTCTTCTTTGTCTTTTTCTATGGCTTGCTGAAACTGTTCGATCTCTTGATTGACAGAACCTTCTTGATCCTGTAAGACTTTTACTTTTTCTTTTAACCAAGATATTTTTTTTTGCCTTTCCAATCGTTCAGGTTCCAAAGATTGATCAGTACTAACAGTAAATAATCCAAAATGGAAAACGTTAAGTGAGAAACATAACATTTAAAAAACAAAGCAGCGTGATAAAATTCCTTTAGCAATAATACAGTCATTGCTTGGTACCGCAGATGCCCAAGTCCCTTTGTCGGCCCTCCCTATCACCGATGTGGAACCTGAAGATACAGAGGGCCGACTGCACTCCACTTCACCTAGATCACTTTGTTACAAAATGACATTATCACAACGATTGCAAAGTAACTGTCTTACCTTTTTTTCAGTTCTTCAATTCTTTTGCAAAGCTGCTCATCATCCTTCCTTAATGCTCTATACTCGTTTAGGGAGCGATTATATAAAACCTAAGGAAAAATTATATATATTCGAGTAAATCAAAAAAACAAATATCCCATTCAAGTCCACTTTTGCCAAATCTTCAAAACAGAAGCTAAATATATGCAGAAATATATTTTTAAAATAAAGTACATAAATGGCCATATGAAATCATTACAGTTTTGAAAGTCTGAAAGCCACACAGATTTCTCTCAATTACAAAACTGTACTTTTAAAAATAAATGAACAGTATTTATATTTGATATGCAGTTTTTAATATTCAGGTTAGAAGACTTCTCACCTCAGCTTCATTATAGGCCCTTTTCCTAGCAGTAACATCTGCTTTCAAAGCCAGACATTCTGGTGTTCGTGCATCTGTCTCTTGACTAATCTTTTCTAGTTTATCTTGAATATCCTTGTATTTTTTTTCTGCTTCATTAAGTCTGACCTTTAAGAAAATAACAACATTGATGGAGTATATTTTCTTTGTCTTCAATAAACAGAGAAATTTAAAAATAATTATTACATAGTTCACATCTCAACAACAAACTTATTTTCACTCTGACTAAATAAACTAAGACATTAGACAAGCAAACATAATTATATAAAATACTAAAATATAAATTAATTTTAATTCTACATTGAGTTTTCCAACAAATGTGTTATCTTCTGGGGATACAGAGATATAGTCACAACTGTCTTAAGTAACACAATTAAAGGGAGATAAACACAATTTAGCTGAGAAACAGACACACAAACTGACAATACAACTTGTAAACAATAATGCTTAAGTAGGGTATGTTTATTTACAATCGTGCAAACATAGAGGAAGAACCCATAGGTCTGCCAGAAAAAGTGAGGAATGTCTTCAAAGCAGAAGAAGCATTTGAACTGAGATGTGAAAGATTAATCAAAATGTACCAGGAGAAAACTTGGGGAAAAGTGTCAGAGACAGATGGAAAAGCATGTAGAAAGGTATTAATATTTACTTTTAGGAATTAAAATATTTCTGGGGCTTAAACTGAGAGGGGAGTGATAGGAGATGAGACGAAGCGGGTAGAAGGGCTTTGAATCCCATAATGATCAGCTTACAACTTAACCCTCTAGAGAACAGGGAGACAAGACATGACCAAATCCATACACTACCTCACTTTGGGAGCACATGGAAGGCAGGGTGGAGGAAAACATTAAAGGTAAAGATTTCAGTAAGCAGGTAACATGAGATTGTGGAACAAAAATAATTAGGGACCAAAATGGGGCACCGACAATAGGAAAGGATTAGAAGGGACAAATACAAGAACTATTTAGATCAGGGATCAGCAAACGTTTTCTAGAAAGAGCTAGAGAGTGTATATTTCATGCTTTGTTAGCTTGTCACAACTATTCAACTAGACATGCTAAGTCTTAAGTGTCTGCAACACGTAGGTAAAGATGTGAAGACAGATATTTGAATCAAGTGCTCAGGATAAAAGTTTGAAGAGGAGATAAAGATGAGGGAATTGCCAATACATAGGATATTTAGGAAGCACTGCATAGAATGGTAATGAAGTTTTATCATTAAAACATTGACTGTATGATCTGCATGAGTTTTACAAAAATTGAAGTTGGCCCACATGTTATACAACTAAACATAATTCATTTATTTTCAGTTTTAAATTAGGTTAACACAAGTTTAAAGTCTGCAGCGTGAGAGGATCCCTTTGTCTCTCCCCTTCAATCCACAGTCAGTAAAACATCCATAACCCAACACAGGCTACACTGCCCAACACACCGGAACCCCAGAGAAATCCACACATCGGTACATATGAAGGTGGGTGGACTGGAACACACAGAAGAGGTAAAATGGGGGAACAGCAGAGGCGGTGCCCAGCTACAGCAGCTGAGCCAGCCACCCTAAGCCCCAGAGAACCTGGTGGGCAGCACCAGGGGGTGCAGAGGTGACTCTAGCCATAGGGAACCAAGCAGCAGCAGAGGTGGAGCCCCATGATCCCAGTCCAGCTGCAGCTCAGAGTCTGGTAGCAGCAGCAGAGGTGCACACGGGACTCCCACAACCCAACTGTAGTGGCACCTGTGGCCACAAGGTAACAGGAAACACCAGAGCTGGTAGCCTGTGAACCCAGAACCCAGCTCCCTCCCCACCCTCTTCCTCTCCCTACCACAGTGAAAGAGCTTCTGACCCAGCTGATCCCAGAGGCACTGGAGGCATCAGCCATCCCCGTATGCCCAGGAGGGAAGCCAACGACCATAGCAACACTAGCAACAGCAAGACATCAGTGACCCCCAGAGGCACAAGTGGTGACAATCAGAGTACCACTAATTTGAAAAGATGTATGCACTCTCATTTCATTGCAGCACTATTTACAATAGCCAAGACTTGGAAACAACCTAAGTGCCCATGGAGGGATGAATGGATAAAGATGTGGTATACACAATAGAATACTACCCAGTCATAAAAAAGATGAAATCTTGCCATTTGCAACAACATGGATGGACCTTGAGAGTATCATGCTAAGCAAAATAAGTGAGACAGAGAAAGGCAAATACTGTATGATTTCCCTCATACATGGAAGATAAAAAACCAACAACACATAGATACAGAGAACAGACTGGCGGTTACGAGAAGGGAAGGAACTTGGGGGGAGGGCAAAAGGGGTAAAGGAGGACATCTGTATGGGGATGGATGGAAGGTAGACTTTGTGAACACGATGCAACATATACGGAAGTCAAAATACAATGATGTACACTTGAAATTTATATAATGTTATAAATCAATGTTACCTCAATAAAAAAATAAATAGAACAAAATAACAAAGTCTGCTTTAGACGCTATTTTTTCAGAAACCTTCCACTCAATAGTCATTGTAAAATCAATAATCAAGCATATACTATATGTAAGGTTTTATGTAAGACTTGGTGGGAAGGATATAAATATAACATAGTCCTTACCCTCCAGAAATTTACCATTTACTACAGAGAGTGGCCAAACACTTAAGTGGAGCAAACACCCACAGAATTAAGTATCACCCCGCCTCAAGATCCTCCTTTCCCATCTGAAGAAAAGGTGGGACCCTATCACTCACATTGCATTCTATTTTTAGGGTGGGGAAATATCTAAAGAGGAAAGTAACTTAAGGTCTTCCCCTTTAACAAGCTAAAAAATGAGGCTGAGAAGAATTTGCATAAATTTTAGAATATTCTCTCAGAAATGAAAATTTCAGGTGAGAGAGGTAGGTGGGGTTGAACTCCCAGGTACTACCTGAAGAGGGAGTAAGAAACTCAGCCCAGAGATCACTAAGTAAAGATACTATCTTCACTATTTCTGGTGTTTTTACATACTCATCTACTACCTTTGATGGATTGTCATAACCCTTAAAAGGAAAAAGACATGTCTTTGAGGGCATATAGGAAAAAGCGAGGTAGGGAAGATTACATTCTAGGCCACAATCAAGCTTGGGAGCCCAAAACTCCCAAGCTAAGTAGAAGTAGGTACTAAGAGGTAAGTCAGCCACAGTGAGTACATGGGGCTATAAAGAAAGAAAGGCTAGGAGTCCTACTTCTGCCATGACAGTATGAGGAATTCTGCAGTGGTGGCTGCATACCCTTGTAAACATACTAAAAAATCACTGACCTGTGCATTTTAAATGAATGGACTGTATGGTATATGAACTATATCTCAATAAAGCTCTTAAAAAAAGAATGAAAAGGCAAGGATAAAGAGGGGATCTGCTATATGGTAAAAAGGCCCATGTGGAAACCCCCAAAAGAAAATTACTATCTTTATTTATCACTCAACTAACCTCTATCTCTAGGCTCAAGTGGAAGACTCTGTGGCTTTCCTGAATGTTAGATAAACAGCACAGTAGCTTCTACCTGGGCTCTTAGACCTCAGGTTGAAATTAACCTAACAGACCTAACAACTTATCCCACATGTGTTCCACATACATGAAAGTCTCTGATGGCTGGGTCCTAAAACTCAGTTCCCTGATGTACCATTAACAATCTCTGGGCATTGTGTCCAGTTCTGAACTCTTATACTTCATGATACTTAGCTTTAACACTATTCTAATTGACTACTTTCCTAGCACCCCTTTATTCCTCAGACCGTTTTATGTCTCTACTCCTCAATGAACCCAAGAGTAAAAGCTTTATGCTCTATCATCTCTAGTCGGTAACAAAGGACCATTGTCCACACACATGCATTTAGACTTCTATATCCCTAGCCTCAGAGAGGCTATGAGATCCAAACACAACACTCTTTTTAAGAGAAAGCTGCCACAACAGTTCTTGAACAAAAGTTTACACTGGCTTCACTTGAGTAATAAATTCAAATACAGATAAATATCTAGGCTGAAACTGCTACTTTTGTAGGTCTTAAACAGTCTAATATCAACAATCTCATATGATTCAATTTACTAAATCTGTATAAAAAAGAGTAATACCTGCTGTTCTTCCATTTTCCTGTCAAGTCTAGCAGCACGATCTTCTCCAATTCTGATATTATCTCTGATAGCATTCAATTGTTTTTCAATTTCATTGACCTAAAAAGAAATTATACCAAATTATGTATAAGACTAATTGTAACCAAATATATTCTATATATTACAAATATATGTGAATAATTCAGTGAAAATTACCACCGCCCAAGCCATTTCATGTTTCAAGTATTCTAAATTAGTCTTCATTGTACTTAAACCAGCAATACTTTGAAAACGTTCTTCTTTCTCCAAACACTGGCGCTTTAGTTCAGTAAGTCGCTTAAAAAAAGAAAAAAGGATATATTTCTTATTAACATTGAAAGAACAAGACATTTTGCAAATGCAGTTCTTTTGAATACATTGCCTGAACAAGTACTAAAAAAGATTTGCTAAGAAGTGATTTAATTAAGGTGAAATAAAAATATTTTGGGTTCTTTGGTATACTTTAACTAGATGCAATAATTTAGTTACTTTCTGTACTATAAAAATGGCCAAATACTCTTCATACGAAGAGTAGCAAACGGATACTTCAAAACTACGCCAGTATAGACAAAACCCAAAACTCAGTTTCCCATTTTCTCTCGATTCTATAACTGATAGACAGACTGGTCTGTTCTGGGCAAAGTATACCCAGTAAACATTCCAAAGATAATGGAAGGCTCAGAAGGAATTTGTTTCCAAAAATAAAGTGTTATAATTTTTCTTATCTAAGTCCTCTCTTAATAATTAATAATAAAATCATCGAGCAAATTTTAAATAGAATGACATTAGAACTGCTTCTGAAGTGGCTCCTAGACTTTATATTCTGTACACTTGGGCAGACAACCTCTCCTCTTCATTTATGCCTACCATATTCAACTAAATCCTTACACACTGTAGATCTTACTCGGTTTTCCTATCCAAGTCACTTTCCCATTCTCCAGGATTATTTCAAGCCATTATCACTCTCTTCAAACCTCATATACCCTGCCACCCTGATCCTTCATTCATTCTCTCTGTCTTCTACTTCAGAGAATTTAGAAGCCATCAGAGAAAAACTCTCTCCAACTTCGAACAACCTTCCCTACAAATCTAAAGCAGTCATTTCTCCCTCCTGCTACAAAAGAAGAGGTGGCTGCATTATACTTAAGTCCAGTCCCCATCTCTTACCTAGATTTTGGATCCTGCCACCCCCTCCTGTGTTCTCAGGAGGTCGAAATTAGTTGATTTTTTTCATCCCGTATCTTAATTTTTGTTTCCACTTCACCCTCTTCACGGACTCCTTTCCATAATCATGTTTAAATCTTTACTCACTATCTTTCGCACTTATAAACAAAACCACCACTACCCATCACTGGGCACCACCTCCTCCTCTGAAAGTCTTCTTCCCTTTCCAGTCAAGTTTCATGAAAATTCTCTCATCTCTTCCATTTCCTCACATTTTCAGCCCCACAAATCTGGCTTCTGTTTTCACCACTACTGAAACTTGTCTTGCCATAGACATCTATGAAGACTATGTCACTAAACACAGGGGGTATTTGTCAATCCTTGTGTTGTTTGCCCACACAGTACATCTCACAGTCCTGACCATTTCTTTCTCAATTCTCTCTTCCCTTGGCTTCTATGGCTTCCACGAGCATTTCTCATAGCTCAGGCCTGGGCCTGCTTTCCTCTCCTCCTCAGCAAGCTAAGTCATTCCTGTGGCTTAGATATCAACCATACACGATGAGTCCTAAATTTTTACTGAGGCCAGATTTGACTTCTGTATGCCTAACTCATACATCCAACTTCTCACTTTACATTTCAACTTGGATGCTTTATAAGCACTTCAAAATTAATCTTTCAAAAGGGAATTCATCATCTTCCTTAAAAGAAACAAAAGGAAGAAAAGGAAAAGAAAAACTGGTTCCTTTTCCCAAGTTTCCTATCTTAATAAAGTTACTCTACTGCCCAGGTCAGCTGATCTAATCTGGAGTCCGTTCAATCACCCATGATGTCTCCTCTGTCTCAGCTTTACCTTCCACGTCCCATATAAGATCTGCCCAAATCATTTCAAAGCTTTGCTCTCCATTACTACTGCCACTACCCTGGACTTACGTCCTCATCATCTCTTTGGACAATGCTAATTACCTTCTTTATTGAGCTCTCTACATCTGTTGTCTCCGTACAGCAATTCATTCTCTTCTATAGCAAAGTACTCTATTGAAAACATACATTTAATCAAGTGATCCACTTTTATGTGTTCTAGGGCCCTTAAGTCTTACAAGGTCCTCCACAAACTGGCCTCTCATCCCTCACTCTTGTGTTCTTCACTCTAGACAATCTGAAATTCTTACAGCTTTTTAAAAGTACCACATGCTCTCTGGGCTGAAACTCCAAGCAAGCTCATTTCTTGGAAAACCTTTCCTTAGTCTCACCATCCCTTGCCTGGTGTTATTCATCCTTCAATTCTCACCTTAGACATCACTTCCTTAACAACTGTACCTTTCCCACTGCCCCTGCCTTGTTCCTACCCCCCACTGCTAGTAACCTGTTAAGTGCTTTTGGACAAACCTAGTCTATAACTCCTTTAGTAGTGCTCACTACACTCAATTATTTACCACCTGCTTCCCGCCAAATAGCTAGGTCGATGACCCCAAGAATCCTGATACTTATTTGCCATTATATGGCCAAAGCACAAGGCTAGCAGGCACGTGGTAGGAACTTAATATTTGATCACTGAACGACTTCTAGTTTCTATCTTCCACACACTATTTCTTAAAGACTTAACTATTCAAACCCAGAGTTTATTTTGAGAATATAGGGCATTTAACTAAGTAGGAAAAAAATTCTTATTAAGTGCATAATATACATAAGGAACTCTGCTACATGACATAGGGAAGTGTTTCTTAAACTTCATAACCAAAATATCTTTAATTGTCGATAAAAGTATACCATAAAGAAAGTGAGTGTTTAACCCCAAACTATCCAAAGCAAACAAACTTCTTCAGTGTCCTGATTTAATATTTTTAAAGTAATAAATGTAACATATACTATATACATTTGTTTGAATATGCAAATATTTCCCTTCCCCAATAATAACACTGATACTCCAAGAAAGTGAGCTATGTTAACTCTGTGGTTTATAGTACCTCCTTGCACATTACCACATACCCCAGGTCTGAAAGGATTATGATGTGGGGAATAAAGATAAATATATTCAATCTTTGCTTTTTGAGTTTTCACTTGATGAACCATACAACTATAAACCTAATTTTAAATATACATTCCTCAAAAATGAAGTAAAAAGGTCAGTGTAACATCTAACAAGTTTGACTTGAGTCAATCCTTACTATAACTCTACCTCAAAAGAACAAGATAAGAAGTTGCTGACAGCTCAGCTGGTTGTGTAAAACTGACTAAAGAACAACAGAACAAGACACAGAATCAGACAAAAATTGGTGGGCCTTTATGTACTGGATGAACAGCTGAAACATAAGCCTTATGATTCTGAAGTCTCTGATTATCAGACAGAAGGTTGGATCTTCAGGAATGCGAAGAAGAAAGTACAAGAACAAAATGTAGAAGATGTAAAAACAAATTTACGTAAGTCACGCTGGCTTGAGTGACTTCAAATTCAGGCAAATCTGCACAGCTGCCAAGCTGGTGAGTACTGATGTGATAGCTGCTACCAAGCTATCAGAGCTTAAAGAAAGTAACCTTCTACTAGTGCAATGAAAGAGCTACCTACCGTACTTAGTTATAAACGCATATTATGTTGATAATATCAGCTTAAGGCTTGTGCTTATTTTCCTATCGAAAGAAATACTATAGTTTTTAAAGTACTTATAGTGGGAATTAGTGATACCTACTGTGGAATCAACTGATCATATATCAAGGGATAAGTATGTTAGATACTATCCTGTCCTTTAGTTTATAGTCTAACAGAGGAAGTAAGATACACGTGTACATAGCCATCATTACAAAACAAAGAAGTAAAGGCTAATAAATTTCATGGATATAAAAACCACACTTCAAACACTTCAGAGAGTGCTATAAAAACGTTCTTAGTTTTAAATAGATATATAGGCATATCATTTTACAATACCATTTACCTACTAAGGACTATAGGAATCTGACTCATCTCAAAAACATTTGCGTTAAATGTTTGCAAACCTCTTCTCCTTGATTTATCTGCTCCTTTGTTCTTTCTTTTGTTTCCATAATGTATGAATAATCTTCCTTCATCTGTTCAAGTTGGGTTGCTTTCATGAAGAACTATATCAACGACAAGAAAAACACAAGCAGGAGTTTGAAAACTTCCATGGAAGTGTGAAAAAGAGAATTTGGTCTCCAAAAACTTTTAGATCAATTATGTAAAAAGACATTAAAAACACACTTAGGCAAGTACACATAAACACAAAGAACATGTCTTATTTCAGACCTAAAATTTTCTTAACCTGCCAGGCTCACATCTATACGTTCATTTGCAAAAGCTCTTAAAAGCCCACGAAAGAAAACACTGCTAGTGGGACCATTTTGAAGGCTCACTTTCACTGTCCTTCCATTCTCTAAGCAAATATGAAAACAGAAAAAACATTTCTATCCTTGATCTTAGCAGATCTTAAATTCTTAGAATAAGAAATTCCAAAATCTATTCAAAGGTTATACTGTAAGTTTTAGTAGTAGTCAATTATTTTGTTAGTTTCTTGAGTTTTAAATAATTTAAGGATTACAAGTTATTATATATGCATGGTTAGTTATTTCCCTGTATTTCTCTAAAGATTAATTTTATAAAATAATAATCTACTCTCTCAGAATTAAAAGCCAAAAAATTGAAGCAGGATTTACAAGAAAATTATACTTCCATTTTATTTAACAATTTCCTAAATTAGTCCTACAATACTACTTTAAATAGTGGCTTAAAAAAATACTCAACATTTATTATGTGAGCAAGAGTAATGTTCAGTATATATGCTTAATCTATCAATGTATTCCTTTTTGTTAGGTTTATATTTACTTCGGTGCTTCTTACTTTGTATTTGTCTCCCTCATTTTTAGACTGTAAGAACTGCTTGCTCATCTCTTGGGTTAAAACAGAAACCGGATTATCCACCTGAAACAAACAAAAGAAGATTATGTTTGAATATTTCATTTTAATGTGCCTTAAAGATAAATGAACTGAAATATACATTACAAGTGATCTACAGTGCCATCAAGAATGCTAAGTACTAGCAAAGGTTAGAGCATTAGGGTAAATACACAAAGACAAAGTGTTAGAAATTCTTAATGTAGAGACAATGTTTCAAAATTTCACAGTACTAAAATGAACACTCTAGCCAATATTAAATATTCTGCCATTACATGACAGCATAAGCACAAGAACTCTCTGAAGAAGTTCTTTTATTAGAAAGTTTTCTCTTTTCATCTGTTTTATAGTCTATCACTCCTCTGCTGCTGGTTAACTATCAGACAACAGGTCAGAAAAGCCCCAGCATGGGGGCAGCTGACTTGGGGTCTTATTTGGGCTCTGTCTCTAACATCTTAGGTAGCCTTAGGCAAGTTACTTTCTCTCTCCAACTAAATACAAAAAGTCCAACTCGGTTATTTCTAATCACTATTATGATAAGTACTGTTTATTTTTCTTACAGCACGTCTTCAGATTTCCCATTTCTCGTTATTTCTTCATGAGGATATTGTAAAACAAATGGAAATACTGAGTCACTTCTATCTTTTGGAGCGAGAGTCATTTTAAATAAGCCATTGCTTGAGTTAAACTACCTTTGGTTAACAAGTTAAAAGTACAGTTAATATAACAGCAAAGTACAGTAGCACTTTACAGTTGAAAAAGTTTTTTTAAAAAGTATAACTTGCTTCAAAAAGATTCAGGGTTGTTACTCAATTACATATTTGGTGTTAATAAAGTAATTTACATGTTAAAAAATAATCCCATTTGTAAATTAGAGAATATGTAGGACTAGTAGAAATGAAAAACATTTTAAACTGCTTCATTTTACCATTTGTAAAATACCAAATGTACTTTGTTAGTACACCAAGGGTTAAAACATTCCTCAAAAAGAAAAATTTGGGGCCGGCCTGGTGGCGCAGCTAAGTGCGCACGTTCCGCTTCTGGGCGGCCCGGGATTTCCCGGTTGGATCCCGGGTGCAGACATTGCACTGCTTGGCACGCCATGCTGTGGTAGGCGTCCCACATATAAAGTGGAGGAAGATGGGCACGGATGTTAGCTCAGGGCCAGGCTTCCTCAGCAAAAAAAAAAAAGAGGACTGCCAGTAGTTAGCTCAGGGCTAATCTTCCAAAAGAAAAAGAAAGATTTGGGGTCTTTTCTTGTAAGCTAAAAAACATTCATGCATTAGAAAGAAACTTCTACATATCACATTTTTCTTATGATATAGGTAAACCACACTCTGATTGCCACATATTTTTTACAAGGCCTGCCCTATACCTTAATTTCACACTGTATCTGACTTCTTAAAAGTAAGACCTAACGCACTAGATTTAATACAGACATTTTACCACCAACTTTGAATTAACAGCTTCACCAGTTTTCACTGTTTCTTCTACATCCTTTTGAATGTTTCTGAAATGGGGTTCCTAGTTCCTACACTACTCTAGGGATTATTTAAGAATCTTGCAGCTTTACCTGCCAAAACTGTGGAGCAAGCACAAAAAGGTTAAACTTCAGAGAAGGGATGAGAAGCAGAGGCATGGAGGAACAAATATAATCAGGGACTTAAAGACATTAAATACTCTCCTCCCTCCTGGTTATTTAGACCAGCACTGTCCAATGGAAATATAATGCAAGCCACACATACAATTTTAAATCTTGCAGTAGCTACATTAAAAATGTAAAAACAGTTAAAATTAATTTTAATAATATATTTTAGTCTAATTTATGTAAAATATTATCATTTTAACATATAATCAATATAAGAAATTGACTTATTCCTTTGCATTAAGTCTTCAAAATCTGGTGTGTATTTCACACTACAGCACATCTCAATTCGGACAACCCCAATTTCTAGTGCTTAATATCCATTTGTGGCTAGTGGCTACTGTGCTGTTAAGTGCAGCTCTAGACCTTCTGTATTTTGATCAATGAACCTGAACCTTTAGTTAACTGAATCAGGCAGGAAAAGGACTAAAGGAGCTGTGATAACAATCCTCAAATATTTCGACTATAAGCATGTTTCACATTCTCCAAGGAAATGGTAGCTTAGAGAAACAGGTTTTATTCACCTTTCCACATAATGAAAACTTTCTAATACACCTGGCCACAGAAAGACTGAGAAGCCTCAGGCAGAGGTGATTTTCCCACCTCTATCCACTCAAGCATCCACTGAAGGAATACCGGGTGCAGATTCCACACAGGGTAAGGATGGAGGATGCTAACTATACTGGATGCCCTCAAGATTCTCCCAACACCTATGATTCTGTAAACTCTGACTTTTAGTTTTCCTGATTTTCCATAACAAATTGTCCTGTGTTCTAGTCTCAAATTTATTTGCTGTGTCTGCTTTTCTCCAGATTTTAATAATTATCTTTCTAAACCTATGTTGCCTTCTATGCAAGCCACTAGCCACACGTGGCTTTTTACACTTAAGTAAAATTAAATAAATGCATTTCTCAGTCACACATGCCACACATGGCCAGTGGCTACACAATCAGATAGCATACTACAGAATACTTCTAGCATCACAGAAAGTTTTTCTGGAGAGCTTTGTTTTACACCAAACTGGAAAAGGGACCCAGACTCATAATTCTTTTCCCCTGGCGACTAGTCTTGGTGTTCTCAATCCTAGAATAAGGCAGGGTGGTACAATGGAAAGAGCGCTAGAGTGGAACAGGCAAGCCTAGGTCCCAATCCAGGCTCCACCAGTAACCACACCTAGAAAACCTTAAGCACAAATTTAACTTTTTCTAGCTCCCAGTTGCTCACCTGCAAAATAAAGGGTCTGGATTAGATGACCTCTAAAGACAATTCCAGTGCTAATGTGACAGGGTTATACATGCCCTATATCCAATTTTCAGTCAAAATACCTTAGCAGAAAGAATTCAAGCCTTGTCTCCTACAAGGTATCATCAATAACTCCAATATACATAAAGAAATGCTTTATCTTTCTAGAATAAACTTCCTTTCTACAGGAATTTAGTAACTGAGTTTAGGGAACTGTGATACTATTCCGACTAGGACAGCAGAAAGCAAAGAAACTTTACATCCTTATTAACATAAATTTTAGTACATACCAGTATAGACCAGATGTTCTTGACTGCTTTATCAAATTAAAGATATTATATTACATACTGAAAATTCCTGGTGAATTCGCAAATTTTAAGGAACTTTGCTAACAACAGTTATACATGTTCTTCCTGTGGTCAATATACTTATCTGAAGCCATTTTAATTCTTTCTACACCCCAAGTGAAATCAGAAAAAAAGTAACCAGTGCATGAATTAATCTAAAGCACAAATTTAGCGATTACCTGTATGTTAAAATGATCAAGAATTGCAATCAGCTCTTCTTTCCTAGTGGAAACCACGGTGCCTAGTATGAGAAACACATAAAATGACCAGATTGTTTCTAGGGCAATAATATAGAAAAAAAAAATGAGCAATTACTTATAAATACAAATATTAATTACTTTTCATTAGGTCATCAAGACAGGCACCATTGAACACACATATCTGAATGAACTGGGGTGATGCACCCATCACACCACAAGGACAGAGGAGGAAGAAGCACCAGATGCAGGGATAGTACTTCTCTTCTCACAGCTAAACCTTTTCTCCTCCTCCTCCTCTAGCTCTTTAGTAAGCCTTAACACTCATCTCCTCTTCCTTTATGTCCTTTCCCACCTTTTGCTAAGCATCTCTTTCCACATGCAATAGAAACTAAAGGGGTGAAAGGAGGTCTGCAGGTGAGAACAAAATGGCATAGCCTGTTTCAAACGGACCCAAATCCTGCTAATCATGGTTTTGCTGTAGAATGTCCTGTGGTAAAACAACTATGTGTAATACATGCATGTACATACACATTCGTATGAACATACACATGCAACCAACCAATCATCTTACAAGAAAGAAGTGTCAAGAGAGTGGGAAGAAGTGCCTTTTCAATGAATAATAGCACAATCACTTAACTCTTTTTTAATTGGATATTTACTAATAACTTATATGAAAAGAAATTCATAACAAACCTGTTTCACTTTTTAGTTTGTAAGATCGACTTCCATCCATGCTGATGTGTTGTTGCACAATTATAGAGTTACCGTACACATTTGCTTTATAGGCATCATCTCCTCTATTCCTTAACGTTATTGAGATATCTGCTGAGCTAAAGCAATAAGGTTAAGTCACATGAAGGTACAGTGCAATTACAATACTAGGTTCCTATATTTTAAAAAACCCCCAAGTAATCTGGCTAATTCATTTGAAAATTAGCTTTACACCAGCCGTTGATGGCAGATTGGCTACTACAGGATAATGATAAAGATATCAAGCCTAACAAAAAAAATAAAGTTGACAATAAGAGATGCTTTATAAAAAATAATTAGGGCCTGGCTCGGTGGTGTGGTGGTTATGTTTGCGTGCTTCGGCAGCCTGGGGTTCACAGGTTTGGATCCCGGGCGCAGACCTACACACTGCTCCTCAAGCCATGCTGTGGTGGCATCCCACATATAAAATAGAGGAAGACTAGCACAGATGTCAGCTCAGGGACAATCTTTCCTCAAGCAAAAAGAAGAAGATTGCAACGGATGTTAGCTCAGCGCCAATCTTACTCATGAAAAAAGAAAAAAGTTACTATTCTATCGACAATAGAAATACCACATTTGTACAAAAACAGTTTAAGTTTTGGTTGTTTCAAATCATGTAGATAAGTTATACATTTTCCGATAAGCAATGTGTAATCGGTATTATAATACCTACTCTAAATTACAAGATAAGGCACCATACTGACAGCAAGCCTTTAAGAATAATGAAGAATTATGGTGAAGTAACATTTTCTAAGAGAATTAGAATCAAAGGAAATAACTTAATTTTTCAATTACTTAGCAATAAAAAGATCAGAGGATTTGATATCAAGAAATGTAAACTGAAGCCCAAAATTCTTAAAGTTTATTGGTATTACAAAAGAATTATTTTTAAAGTTTTAAAGAAGTTTAAAGCATTTATAGTCATGCATATTTTAACATATTATAGAGAGGAAAAAATCAACCTTTGTTTATTTTTCTACTCTAACTCTGTTAAAATAAGACTTGGTAGAAAAACAAAGAAAAGATGCTAATGAAGTGCATTAATGAATATATATTTATAATTTCCTTAAACATAAAAGCAGACAATACTTTTTCTGGTTCAGATGAACATCTGCCAAACTGCTAAAGTCCTCAAATGCAAAATTACTTTACTTGGTAATTAAATGAAATCTTTAATAGAACATGCTTGTTTTTGTGAATTTGTAATGATACTCCAAAATTGTTCCCATTGCAAGAAATGTAGGAAAAAATACTCAAGATGAACTTCCCTGTAAACTGATATTACAGCAGACACACTGAAGGCTTTGCTCAGCTCTTGCTCCTCTACCCTTTTCTTTGTAAGCGTCCTGGCAGAAAGAGGGCTTAGCAGCCATATCAGTCCCCCTCCTCTCCTCCAGCGATTGAGCTAAATAGAGAAATCTGACACTAACTGGGCCAGATTCTCTTCTTTAAAAATCCAAATTTAGAAAAGCTGGTAAAATTCAAATAAAGTCTGTAGTTTAATAATATTATAACAATGTTAATTGAAAAGTTTTGTTAAAAGTACTTTATTTAAGTTATTTGGGTTGTCAAAATTAATGAAAACTGGGTGAAAGGTGTGAAAGAAACTGTAATATCTTTGCAACACTTCTGTAAATCTAAAATTACTTCAAAATGAAACATTTTTAAAACAAATCCAAAGTGAGACACAACCAAGTGGAAAAATGGAAATTCCTTGGAGCCTGGAAAAAGTTATGAGGCCTCTGGGACTAGAGAAACCAATTTGGGGTATTATACTCTGATGAGGAAGTAAAGTAGAAAGTCTGCAGAGACTACAGAGAAAAGCAGGAGCACAGAACAGATAAGCTCTTGAGAAGCCAATGAAACAGACTGATAGGGACACACCCCCACAGATACTGGCAGTGAATCAGAGACAAAGAGAACACTAGAGCACTTCCTTACACGCACAGCCTACAGACTAAGACAGTAAGACAAATGCCTGCACACACAAAGACCTAGACTAACAAGGACTCGGCGAAATAAAAAGCAAGAGCACACATAACCCAGAGGCAGCGAGAGAGAGAAACACATTCACACATCCACACACTTGTCAGCAGCAGAGAGGGAGGAGAGCTCAACACAGAAGTACAGCCCACTACGTAGGGAGGGTCAGGGCGGTGGGGTAGAGCAAGAGTTGCGGCACGGACTGAAGGAAGGGAGAGGGAGAAAGAGGCCTAGACACAAAGACACACAGAGAAAGCCAGAGACACACACAAAAAGACCCAGACAAAGAAGATCCTTGGTTCTGAGGTCTCTCAGTCCTGCTCACTCACAAGACTGAATTGTTCTTCCTCCCCGCAGCTTCTGAGATATAGATCCCTGCGTCTACGATGAATCTCCTTCTCTAAAGCTACCCTGAGTGGGTTGGTGTGTGTGTTTTTTTAATCAGAAATCCCTAATTAAGACAGATATGCACCTGAAAAGTTATAATTAACAGGATTTTTAAAAGCTTCCCGAGTTGATTCAAATGAACAGTCAAGTTTGAAAACCATGAACTAAAGTATGATAGGGGAAGGGCAGCTGACCTGCAACATGGAGTAAAAATATTTTATTTCGTCAGCTAGTGTGATTACCTAGTATTATGTGAATGTACCTCATGAAGACCTTTTAAAAATAAAATGAGGGGCTAGTTGTGTGTCCTAGCAGTTAAGTTCAGCGCGCTCCACATCAGTGGCCCAGGTTCAGTTCCCCGGGCGCAGACCTACACCACTTGTTGGCAGCCATGCTGTGGCGGCAACCCACATACAAAATAGAGGAAGACTGGCACAGATGTTAGCTCAGGGCAAATCTTCCTCAGAAAAAATAAATAAATGAAACAAAATAAAATGACTACAAATATTTGCTTTCTGAATTATCAAACATCTCTCTTCATTAACAAACATCTACTTTATTATTTTCACTCCTAGCTACTCCTTGCATTTGAAAGCTATCTTTAATACTGTGAGAACTTTGGACGCACTGGTATCCTGTTGCTATATGAATTTAACAAATATAAGAAAGGCAAGTTATTCAAAAAATTAAGCCTTAAGAAAAAAACCTTATAGTAACTGCTCAAAAAACCTGTACAAGGAGACAGGGACAAGTGAGCTGGGCACTAACTGCTGTCCGCCCACCATAGTGATGTGGCTGATGCTCAATTTGGGTCAAGAGTCACAGAGTCCAACATCTATAAATCCAGGAGACCCTTAAGTGAAAAGAGAGACTATCAGTGAGGGTTCTTTCAGAATGACAACACAAACAAGCAAGGCCACAGTAAGAATTTGGCTTCTTTCTAAACTCTGGAAAAACCTATCTGCACAGAGATACCTGGCAGCAGCACACACTAAGGGGAACGAGAAACAAGGAAAGGGCCATGTAAAAATATGATGCAGTGCTCCTTCTCTGGGTAGCCAGCTCACCTGCAGTAAGTTCTGTAACCTGAACTAAATAAACCAGGAATGTACAGCAGGAGTATGAGTTTTCACTCCTCCATAACTCACTCCCGATGCCCAGCTGATGTTAAAAACAGGACTGGTGCAAAGATCCCGATGCCACCAGGGTCTGTCTTAGAAAGGCTGAGAGAGGGAACTGTGAGCTGAACATGTTCAAGAAGAAGCTGAATAGTTAGGAGCGTGAGACCTTGGGTCACTGAGAGAGGTTTTCATGGGAGGAGATACATTAGGAGAATTCATTCACTGTCTCCATATCACTGGAAAGGATTAGTGGATAATCAGAGGGCTGAGCCCCAGGTAAAGTGTCTCGAAGCACAGCTCTCGGCTTCTCCAAACCATATTAGGTAAGCATCTCTAAGGATAGCTGAAACCCCCACAAAGGCAGCCCAAAGATCAGGTGTCACAAACGGGGAGTGTAATGTTTGATATGGAGGCAAGGGGAGAGTCCTTGACTACCTCAAATCTGTGCCAGACTGACAGACATTCTTCAGGCAAATTGGGATAGCCACATAGATTTTAGATGCAGAATGGACTAATAGAAGTGCAAAACTTAATGAAGGGCTTCAGTAAAAAAGTGATGACAGAATGAGAGACTATAAAGTAAGGAGAATTTTATAGATACTAAATGTTTTAAATGAGGAAGAAGACGACAAGAGGAATAGTAATAGGTTTAGAAAAGCTGTCTGTAGCTACTTTTTCAGACGAGGTCAGTAAAAAGGAAACTGGGCTTAGGTTAAAGCTTTTAACTTTAATTGTTTAAAATATATTGATGTTCCTATCTACAGGCAACTGTGTCCTTAAAAGTTGGTGATTTGTGTATGCTAGCCTTTTTCTTTCTTGCTTTCTTTTCTTTAATAGTATTTCAAGGACAAGTCTCAGAAAGAAGTTTCTGCTTTGGTCCAGGTACTTCCCAGAGGAAAAAAATAAAAAATATTTAATCAAGACATAAAACATTTAATGGTAAAGAAAAAATAATTTCTTCCTGAAGTGTCTATTTGAAAGATCAATGTGTTATCTGGCTAGGTAGACTAGGTGATTGTTTGGACAACTAAGAAAAGTATAGTTAAGTATAATGCATTGAAACAGAGTTGGGACCATTAACTTAAAAATGGTAAAGTAACTAACTTTTGACTTCAGACATAATTTTGTTTGGAGACTGTGGGGGAGAAAATTTTGCTGGGCTGAGGCCCAAATAAGATAAGTAGAGACAGAAAATATGCTGGAGAACTGTTACCAAATAGTTCTTCTCCAAGGCCACAGAGCATGGGAAACGATTTTCTGTGTACTTTTCCCCCCTTCTCCTGAGTCAACTTGGAACCCGGCTTAGGATTCCTAAGGTTTCTGAAAGACACATAAGAAAGCTTCAATCCTGATTCATAGCCCATTCCCATTCTATTTTTTAGTAATAAAATGGGAGAAGTTAAATGGATATAACACTGAGTAGAAGGAAAGTCTATTATATGAAAAAAAAGTTATCACTGTTAATTACCAAAGTTCCAGAAGCACTGGGTATGCAAGGGAGGAACGTGCAGTGTGAGTAGCCTCACTCTGGGAGCTAGTATGACAGAGTTTGGGACATCTAGTTGTTATTAGAAACAAGATTACCCTTCAGAGTTATCTGAGGTAGTATTAAAAAGAATAAGGGGACCGGCCCAGTGGCGCAGAGGTTAAGTTTGCACATTATGCTTCTCAGCGGCCCAGGGTTCGCCAGTTCAGATCCTGGGTGGAGACATGGCACAGCTTGGCAAAAAAAGCCATGCTGTGGTAGGTGTCCCGTGTATATAACAGAGGAAGATGGGCATGGACGTTAGCTCAGGACCAGACTTCCTCAGCAAAAAGAGGAAGATTGGCAGTAGTTAGCTCAGGTCTAATCTTCCTCAAAAAAAAAAAGAATAAGGAGCCTGCTCTGATGGCCTAGTGGTTAAGGTTTGGTGCACTCTGCTTCAGCAGCCTGGGTTTGGTTCCCAGGTGAGGAACCACACCATTCACCTGTCAGCAGCCACGCTATGCTGATGGCTCACACAGAAGAACTAGAAGGACTTACAACTACGTACTGGGGGCTTTGGAGAGGAAAAAAAAAAAGAGGAAGATTGGCAACAGATGTTAGCTCAGGGCAAATTTTTCCCAGCAACAACAACAACAACAAAAAGAACAAGGGGATCAGTCTGAAAAGAGCTCCTAATGGGCAAAAGGCCATCAATCTATGATAATGCAAATTGTGTAATTAATATATAGTTATGTGAATGCAAGCTATAACAAAAAGAAATATAAAAGTAAAGTCAAAGACCATTCACCAAGGGTCAAGAAGGATCACAAATAGACTTGTAACTGGTCCTCAAATCAAACTCATTGGCAAACAACCTTGGTAAAGGATACAAAATCAGAGACAAAGAGTGGACTACTTTCTGGAATTCTCAAAGGGCAGGAGGCAGAAGATCTGCGCAGGGACACCTTGGCCAGCCACTGACTCTGCTTTCACCTGTGTCGTATCAATGCGGACGTGCTGACACTTAGTTTGGGTCAAGAGCCAGGAAAGTCCAATGTTTATAAATAGTCCTTTAAACAAGTTCAGAGGTTTATCACTGCTTGTTCTTTCAGAAAGGTAACAGAAACAAGAGTGTAAGTGGGCAGCAACAGGTCAATACCTGACACAAGCTCTCTGGAAAGGATAACAGGCAACAGTGGGCCATGCTGGTGACAGGTGGCAAGAGAAAGGAATGAAAATGTATGATACTCTGTCCCAGTGCTGGGAAGCCAGTTCATTTCCTCTAATGTCTACACGAATTGGGACTCTAAGTAGCTGCTTCTTTTTAAAGAACTGAAAAATACAAGTAGAAAGCAAACACTTACTTCTGTCCATCTTTCACAAAACCTTTTAAAGAAGATCCTCTATTAGTAGCAACTGCTTTTCCACCAAGGCCAACTATGAGAGCTGTGAGTACTGCACTCTTCCCACCTAAAGAAACAGGTGTTGAAGAAACCACATTCATTAGAGAGAGAAAAGAAAAGGCTAACTCCTATAATTTGATGTAAAAAGATTTTTGAATGAAAATGTGAATTAGTCTGACCCTGAAATAAGCTTCAGTGATAATTCCCTTGCAGCACCAAAGCAGGAAACTTATAAAAAATGCTGTATATATCGTGAAATATTTAGCTGCTGCTATTAGAAAAAAATTAGCATATTTCAGGAATAAGTTTTGCCGCTAACAAGGAAATGGAAAAAATGGTTGATACCTTTCAAACCTAAAACTCTCATCCGAGCCCATCAGCCTGTTAAATAAATTTACCTTTCTAATTACACATATGTACTTAATTCATCTAATTTTTATTACACTCTAATTTAATTACAATTTACTTTTACATAAATTCTCAGAAGTCAGAAACTATTTTTAACATCCCTTGAATGCAAGCTCCACAGGGACAGGAACGTTGCCTTTTTTATCGCTGTATCTCCCATATCAACCCATAATAGGCACTCACATATTTGTTGAAGAAATAAATGAACTTAAATACGAAAAAATTATCAGTCATAAAGACAGATGTTTGTATGTAATATTTTGACCATTATTCCTAATTTGAATATTATTCATTTGCTAGCTCTTTGAAAACTGTGCTTCTTTTCACCCTGACAGACATGAAATATCACAAGCTGAAACTCCAAAGTCTATAACAATTACTTAGAATATGGTAACTATTTTCTGAACTCCACAATCAACCGATTCAATCAACTCTTATAAGCCCAGCATCTTCCACACTATATCCCAAATTAAGCAAAACACCACTGGCTAACTCCATTTAGTTCCTGGAACGTCTTTCAAGTCCCTATCCTCTCTCCTTTTCCTTCATTTCCAAATTCCCTGCCTCTATTACTTGTTATTAAGTTTTAATAACAAAAGCACCTTTTCAAAAGTTAAAAAAGAAAAGAGCTAACTGCAGAACCCACCATTCTTTACTTTTTGTCCCATGTGACCTCCCTGTAGCACTCATCCCTTTGTCCATTCTCTCCTTGAAAACACTTTCCTGTTGATTGAATATAGAGCAGGGAAAACAAAGAACAACAACTAAACAGACTGGAGCTCCACATAGCCAGTTTTGCATTCTAGCACTGTCAAAGTTGTAGACTCTGGCAAGCCTTCTCTCCCAGTGGACTGGTCCAGTCAAGCTGTCAGCAGCTCAAGCCTCGCTCCTCTATCACAAGAGCTGCCTAACTGGTCTTTCCAACTCCTGTCTTCCCCCTTCTAATCCATTCTCTGCAATGTGACCAGTTGGTTTCATAAATCTCAACCCTGTCATCACTTTACTCAAAAACTTTAATGAGTTCCCCAGTGACTTCTGAATAAAACCCCAAAATCTTTATCACGGCATTCTAGATCCTCAAGAATATAAGCCACAACACAATTTTCCAGTGTCAGCTTCTGCCCCTCCTACCATGTATAAGATAAAGCCATATAAGGTAGTTCACCACTCTCCATACACATCTACTTCTACCCCTCCAAACCTCTGGTGAGGAGCAGTCTTTGCCTGGAACATCTCAGCTGCTTCTCCTCCAAGGGGACCTAAAGAATCTAGAATTTCCATTCAAGCATCAAACAAATACCATCTCCTCTTAAAGCTTTCACTGGCCCAACAGTGAGAAGTAGTTTCATTCGTGTTTGGATTCCCCTGGCACTTTATTCATGCTCTATTACAACATTTCATGGATGTAAGACACAGGGCTGCCTCAATCACAAGGAGGACAGCTTTTCCACTCTTCTGTGGATGAATTCCAAGGTAAATGGATTCAAAAGAATAAGCAGGAAATGTTTGTCTCTGCTGCATAAATAACAAACCCAGAGTTAACTTATTATTTTCTTACAGTATAGACTGGAAGCAAATACTAAAAATATTCATGACCACAAGTTATAGATCTAAAACTTGGATTTATAAGCACTAATAGTCACCTGTTTAAAAAAGTTAATGCATTCTAATCTCAAAGCACTGCTCAAAGAAAAATAAGCGGTGCAAAAGCACTTACTTCCATTGTTGCCAACAACAAAGTTGACATTAGAACCAAATTTAAAGGGTCCAAGCATCGAATGACACATGAAGTTTCTTAGCTGAATACTCTCAATTATTCCAACTTCTGCTGCAGTCTATTAACAAAAAACAATGAAAGAAAACAATCAATTTGTCTACTTCACTCAGTATAATCAAGCATTTGCTGGCAGGAGAAAGACCGGCAGTGTTACCAATGAAAGAAATTACAGAAAGTGAATAATATTAACTTCAATCAGTGAGTCAGATGAAATTAGACAGGAACCTTATATGAGTAATCACTCATTCTAAAGTCCTTAAAGGGTCTAATAAGCGTATCACAAGGTTTCTTAAAACAGACAATACTAACATTTGAGTCAGAAAATTTTTTGTTGGAGGGGGTTGTCTTATGCATTGTGAGCTGTTTAACAGTAAACCCAGCCTCTACCCATTAGACACAGGTATAACACAACCATTTCCCAGCTGTGACAATTAAAAACATACCCAGACATTGCTAAATGTCCCCTGGGGGACAAGATCCCCCCTGGTGTAGTAAAACTTCAAAAGATGACAATCCAGCCATGGTTTGAGCACTGAATTTGCTACAGACAATTCAAAGAGTAGAGCACACGTTCTTAAAAGGTAAAACCTGCTTTTCTTGTGATTTGCTATGTCTGTCACTTGTTATAATTGTGTGACTTTGGCAACATATAAAGAATATATGATTTCAGGGCCAGCGCCATGGCCAAGTGTTAAGTTCATGCGCTCCGCTTCAGCAGCTCAGGGTTTTGCCAGCTGAGATCCTGGGCACAGACATGGCCCAGCTCATCAGGCCATGCTGAGGCGGCATCCCACATGGTACAACCAGAGGCATTCACAACTAGAACATACAACTATGTACTGGGGGGCTTTGAGGAGAAGAAGGAATAAAAAGGAAAAAGAAGATTGGCAACAGGCATTAGCTCAGGTGCCAATCTTCTAAAAAAAAAAAAAAGAATATATGGTTTTTAAATCTGCGAATCAGAAATAATTAGCATACACCAGGATTAAATTAGAGAAGGTTTATACATGTTTTAATCATGAATTTGGGACACAGTGATCACACTTTGCAGTTAGAAATACCAAAATAAATCAACCATATTTTACCAAACCTCCCAATTTTTTTGAAGAATGAACAATGTTTTCAGCTTTTTTAATAGTTTCTTTAAAAACTCCCTGACTCCCTTCTTCTAGACAGTATCTTATTAAAAAGCAGAAAATATTCATATCTTTGTATGGTTAGAATACCAGAAATCACAGTTGAAGACTTTTAAAAATAAATTTTTATTTTGATCTAATTGTAGATTCAGGTATAGTTTTAAGAAATAATACAGGGAGATCTTGTGAATCCTTTACCCAGTTTCTGCCCATGGTAACATCTTGAAAACTGTAGTACAACATCACAATGAGGATACCGACACTGATACAGTCAAGACACAGGACATCCATCAGCACAAGTATCCCTCATGTTGCCCCTTCATAGTCACATCCACCCAATCCACCCAATCCACCCCCTCCTTAATCCCTGGCCCACTAATTTGTTCTCCATTTCAGGAATGTTATATAGGGGGCTGACCCCGTGGCTTAGTGGTTAAACCCAGAGCACTCCACCATGGCAGCCCAGGTTCACACGTTTGGATCCTGGGTATGGACCTACACACCACTAGTCAAGTCATGCTGTGGAGGCATCCCACATACAAAACAGAGGAAGACTGGGACAGATATTAGTTCAGGGCTAATCTTCCTCAAGCAAAAAAAAAAAAGAATGTTATATAAATGGAATCATACAGAATGTAACCTTTTGAGATTAGCTTTTTTCATTCAGCCTAATTGTCTATTGTTGCCTGTATCAGTTGTTCACTGGTTTTTTACTGCTGAGTAGTATTCCATGGACGGAAGTACCACAGTATGTTTAACCATTCACTCACTGAATGACACCTGGGTTGTTTCAGTTTGGGGCTAATACAAATAAAACTGCTATAAACATTTATGTATAGGTTTTTGTGTGAAGATAAATCTTGCTCTCTCTGGGACAAATGTTGGGTTACAAGGTAGGTAGCTGCATGTTAAATATTTTAAAAGAAACTGCCAAACCATTTCCCATAGCCAGCTGTATCATTTTACATTCCACCAGCAATATATGAATATTCCAGTATCTCTGCACCCTTGCCACCATTTGGTATTGTCACTGCTTTTTTCATTTTAGCCATTCTGATGAGTGTGTAATAATATCTCATTGTGGTCTTAATTTGCATTTCCCTGATGAAGAATGATGCTGAACATCATGCCATGTGTTTATCTGCCATCTGTCTATCCTCCTCTTCAGTGAATTGTCTCTTCATGCCTTCTGCCCATTCTCAAAATGGATTATTTGCTTTTAACTGTTGAATCTTGAGAGTCCTTTACATATTCAAGATACTAGTACTTTGTAGCATACGTAGTTTGTTAGTATTCTCTCCTAGTCTGTAGTTAGACTTTTCATCCTCTTAACAGGGTCTTTTGCAGAACAAAAGTTTTTAATTTTGATGAAGTCCAATTTATCAATTTTTCATTTTATGGTTTGTGCATTTGGCGTCAAGTCTAAGAATTCTTTGCCTAGTCCTAGATCCCAAAGATTTCTCCTGTTTGTTTCTAAAAGTTCTATAGTCTTACGTTTTACAGTTAAGTCCGTTACCTAATTTTGAGTTAATTTTTATAGAAGGTATGAGACTTAGGTTGAAGTTCATTTTTTTGCCTAGAGATGTCTAATTCCTTCAGTACCATTTGTTAAAAAGGCCCTTGCTCCCCCATTGAATTGCCTTTGAACCACTGCCTAAAATAAGTTGGTCATGATTTGTGTGGGTCTATTCTTGGGTTCTCTGTTCTGTTCCATTGATCTGTGTGTCTATACACCAATACCACAGGGTCTTATTTACTGTAGGTATATCAGAAGTCTTGAAACTGGGTAGACTGATGCCTCCCACTTTATTCTTCTTTTTCAAAATTATTTTAGCTATTCTAGTTCATTTGCCTTTTCATATAGATTTTAGAAGAAATTTGTCTATATCCACAAAAACTCTTACTGAGATTTGAGAGAAACTGCATTAAATCTATATATAATTTTGGGGAAGAACGGACATCTTTTCTGTGTTGAGTCTTCTAATCTAGGAACAAATGAAGTATCTCTCTCCATTTATTTAGGTCCCCTTTGACTTATTTCATCTGCATTATACAGTTTTCAGCATGTAAGTCCTGTACATATTTTGTTAGCTTGAGACCTAAGTATTTCATTTTTTTAAGGGACTGTAAATAGTATTATATTTTGAATTTAGATGTCCCTGTGTTCAATGCTAATATGCAACAAGTGACTTTCTAAAAAAATGTTTATCTTGTACCTTGTGACCTTGCTGAATGCATTTATTAGTTCTAAGAGATATTTTTCTGTAGATTCTTTGAGATTTTCTATGTAGACAATTATGTCATCTGCAAATACGGACAGTTTTCTTCTTTTCCTTTCCAACCTGTATACCTTTTATTTCCTTTTGTTGCTTTATTATACTGGCCAGATCTCCCAGAACTATATTAAGTAACAGTGAGGAGAGCACATCCTTGCCTTGCTCCTGATCTTAGGGAAAAGACATTTCAGTTTCACCACTAGCAATAATATTAGCCATTGGTTTTTTGTCAATGCTCCTTATCTTGTTGAGGAAGTTCTCCTCTATCCCTACTTTTCTGAGAATTTTAATCATGAATGGGTGTTAAATTCAGTCAAACGTTTTCTTCTGCGCCAAATGATATGATCATGTAATTTTTCTTCTTTAGCCTGTTAAAATGGTGAATTAAACTGACTGATTTTCAGATTCCAAAACAGGCTTGCATGCCTAGAATAAACCCTACTTGATCGTGATATATAATTCTTTTTATATATTGCTGAATTCTATTTGCTAAGATTGTATTAGGGATTTCTGCATCCACATCCATGAGGTCTGCAGTTTGCTTTTTCAGTACCTTCTTTCTCTGGTTTTGGTATCAAAACAATGAATCGGAAAGTGTTCCCTCCTATTCTATTTTGTGGAATTGACTGTGTAGAGTTCACGTTAACTCTTCTTTAAACATCTGTACAATTCTCGAATCAAACCAACTGGGCTCAAAGATTTCTTTTTTGGGAGTTTTTAAGTGATGAATTAAATTTCCTTAATAGTTGTAGAGTGATTCAAACGCTCTATCCCATATTGGGTGAATTGTGGTACTCTGTGCTTTTTGAGGAATTGGTCCACTCCAGCGAAGCTGTCAAATTTAGGAGTGCAGAGCTGTTAACAGTATTCCCTTATTATCCTTCTGATGTCAGCAGGGTCCATGATCATATCTACTACTTCATTCCTGATATTGGTAATTTGTGTAGTCTCCTTTTTTCCTTTGTCAATCTTATGAGAGGTTTGTCAATTTTATTGATCTTTCCAAAGAAACAGTTGTTTGTTTCATTGTTTTCTCTACTAATTTTTTCTAATAATTACCATAAATTTCAAAATTAGTCAGGTTCTTTTCAGCTTTTTAAAAATCATGTTGCTTTTCCTGTATTGAATTATTAAGAATATGACATATAAACCAAACATGAGAAACATGCCAATTAAAAAACCTAATTTTGTAATTTTGCACTTACCAAAGTAGAGGCACCATTAGTGAAAGAAGCTGTACCTTCATCTTCGTCACCATCTTTATCAAAATCCTCCAACTCTTCCTGTCTCGGTCTTTTGGCATTCTCAGGAGAGAAGAAATTTTCTTCCTTCCTTTTGGCCATCAGGTCTGAACAAATATTATAGTATCAATAAATTAAATCAAGTAGAGCATCCATGACTGTTTCATACACATTAAACTTAAAATAAATCAGACAGCGCTTAAGTTTTAAGTATTATGTCCATTCATTTTTACTTTAAAAAAAGTAAAAATATCATCTGCGTAGAGGAAGGGAGCTGTGAGCCAAAGAATGCAGGCGGCCAGTAGGGTCTGGAAAGGCAAGGAAACAGATTGTCCCTAGAGCCTCCAGAGAGGAGCAAGCCCTACAGCCGCCTTGATTTTGGCCTAGGGAGATGTGCTGGGCTTCTAACTCACAGAAGGATAAGATAAAAAATGTGTGTTGTTTTCAAAAAGAATCATCTGCATATGCTATACTAGCTGATTCTACTTCAGTTATTCCTGGCCAAGATTTTATTGATATGGGCCCCCCTAAATGTTTTGACTCCTAAACTCACAAAAGGTAAAGGATTTTATTTGTGAAACTGTGGTCTCCAGTTTCCTAGATCTATTAAGGGAGACAGCATCATGCCTTATGAAATTATTCCAGAGCAATCATCCAATGTTTACAAGCTTAAAGTATTAGTGAATCAAACTTTTAAGTTATTTTCCCAAAGCAGCATATTTGAAGCACTGCTCCCTAGCACCAGCAGTTTAGTCCATGCTGATTGTCTACTTTTTACCAATATACTGTAAAATTTATACCTAGAAAATTAATATATTCAAAGTCACACAAGATTTTCTAAATGGATGAATACCACACCTCAAATCAAAGCTGACAGTCTGTGACTGAAATTAAACATTATGACTACTCTGATTGTTGCTTTCACTTTTCTCTTTAAAATACATTTAAGACCTAAAATGATAGGTACCTAATAACTGTCTGCTGAACAAATGGAGAGGAAAATCCACGACATTGGTAATCAGAAATTTCTAAGATACAAGAAAAGACTATGAGGAATACTTCCAGTCTCAACCCATTTAAGTCCCCCAAGGACTACACCATCGTAACCCTGCCTGTACCAGGTACCTGGACAGTAGTAGACTAAATGAGATGTTCTCTCTCATGAATTTGGACTGGAAGATTCTAGTCAGTTCTCACTAGAAGAGATGATGGGTCTATGTGATGATGTGCACACAGAGGAAGAAAGCCAGGCTTAGGTGGATGTGTGTGCTGGCAGGGTGTGGGGAGCTAGTGGAATGGCATTACAAAGAGATGATGAGTAGAAGTGTGGGAACAGAAGTAAGAATTTGAGAGAGGAAAAGAGAGCGAGGGGAGAGAGACATTCACACACACTTTAATTTTTTAATCCACTGCTTTCCAAACTCACACTGACAGAACAAATTTTGCAGAAATATCAAATAGCTATACATATTCTGGAGGAATTGTTTTGGGGAACTATCTTTGTCAGGTTTTGTTATTATGACAATGCATGCTTCACTAAATAAACTGAGTAGTTTTCCCATCTTTTTAATGATCTAAAATCGCTTCTATGGCATGATATTTAACTGTTTTTTGAAGGTGAGAAAGAACTAAGGTTAAAGTTATTAGTGGCGTCTGTTTTAATTTTACAAAATTATTTCAATTTCTTTCTTGTATAGTGGTCTTTTACTCTTCTCTATATCAATTGTTCTGTAATTTTATTTTACGAAACATTGATAATTTAAAGCCTCAAATTTACTACACGAAATTACCTTATGTTTTGTAAAATCCTCATCCATAGTCCTAACTCCTTTCACGAAAATTCTATTTAATTAAATTTTAAACATTTTCTCTAGAAACTAGCTCTTTGCTTTATCAAATCTAGTTTTTCTCTAATGTGAATATTTTAAAGTTTATTCACATATTTTTATACAAGCAAATATAAGAGATATGCAGTGGGGCTAGTTCAGTCTCTAATTCTTTTTTTCCAAAGTACAAGTTAAAAAGAGCAATGAGAAGAGGCCAGCCCGGGCGGCACAGTGCTCCATTTTGGAAGCCTGGGGCTCACTGGTTGGGATCCCGGGCATGGACCTACACACTGTTTATCAAGCCATGCTGTGGCAGACATCCCACACACAAAACAGAGGAAGATGGGCACAGATGTTAGCTCAGGGACAATCTTCCTCAAGCAAAAAGAGGAAGACTGGAAAAAGATTTAGCTCAGGGCCAATCTTCCTCACCCCCCCACCCCCAAAAAGCAATGAGAGACTTCCACTTCCAGGAAGATGGAATAGATGTACTTTTCCCTATTCCTCCTGCTTAGTAAACCTAAAAGCCTTGGAAATTATATATAAAATAAACGTAAGACAACTCTGAAAAAGAAGGAGGTTGACTGGCTAGGGACCTCAGGACCCAAGAAATGACACCATGGCGAGTTCCCTGAGTTTTTGTTTTGCCTCAAATATCCCATACTTGGAGAAGCCAGCAACTGAGGAAACACCAACAGGTGCAGTGGGGAAGAAAAGGCCTAATGAAAGCTTGCTCTCTCTAGCCAAAGGACCAGGAAAAGGACAGCCTAACAAAACAGAAAACTTTTAGACACTAATTGCTCTACTCCAATTAAATACCACTGAAAAAACTGCGGCCCCTCCTTCCCCCCCCAATGCCAGCCAAGGCCAAGTGGATAGCCTGGACTTCCACCCTGGTGAGGCTAGAAGGAGGTATCTCAATATCCCAAAAGGCTAGTGTCAGAGAAGGCTACGTAGGCCACGTAGGCAGCCATGATACTGGTGTCGGTGGAGACCACCTAGAGAGCCTAGACGTCCACCCCCACCAAGCAGTAATAGGGTGTTACTTACTCCCATTCCCTCCTGGATGATGTCAGAGGAGGCACTACCACTACCCAGAGAGGCAAGGACACCAGCCGACTGCAGTGGCCATGGAGACCACGAAGGGAGCCGAAATTCGCACCCCCACCCAGCAGTCACTGCAGCTAAGAAAAGAGTTCTGGTAAAGTTCTAGGTTTGAATCTGTCGGTGGCCCAGTACCACAGGGCAGCAGATCTCAAAGGTTGTGGTCTCTTACAAAGTACTAAGGACCTCAAAGAGCTTTTGTTCATATCTATCAATATTTACCATATTAGAAGGTAAAACTGAGAAACTTTAAAACAAAAAACACACAACTACACCTTCTATCAGTTGTCAGAGAAATGTGATCACATGTCTCCTAACATCTGGAAAACTCCACCGTACACTCATAAGTGAATGAGAATGAAAACGGCAAATGACATCTCATTATTATTATGAAAACAATTTTGACCTTGTAGACCCTTTGAAAGAGTCTCATGGATCCCTGGGCCACACTTTGCAAACTGCTGCTATATGGATACTATAAGCAAGTCCAAGACACAACGCCGTTAAGTTATAAGGCATAGCTGGCAAGCGATAAAATTAGAGCAGCAGAGGGCTTTAGATTGGATATTCACAGTGTGGTCCAACGACCAGCAAGTATCACCTACATCTCCTGGGCACGGGCTAGATATCCACAATCTCAGGTCCCACCCTCAACCAAGTGAACGAGAATCTTCATTTTAACAAGATCTCAGGTGATTCATAAGCACTTTAAAGTTTGAAAGTACTGTTGTAAAAAAAAAAACTTGGACTTTATTCTATCCTGAAGGCAATGAAGAACCTAACTTATCATGATAAATTAAATATCATTTAAAAGGTACATTAGCTAATATCCGAAGGACACTTATCCTAAACAAATGCCTTTTGAGACAATATTAACATTACCAACACATTCATAAAATATTCAACATCTTTTTCACCAATAATTTAATGTTTATTTTAAATCTCCTACAGAAGTCAAAACTTAAAAATCAAACATATTTCTCAAATTATTTAATAACAAGAATCAATGTACATTAGTTTCAGCTTCAGCTTGTTGCTAATTTAAATTCTCTAGCATACCAACAGGCCATTATTTCCCCAAGAACATTTTCTTCTCTCCCACCCATCCTCTATTCCCTTCTCAATTACTGAGCTGTAATTTATTTATTATAAAAGAGCAAAGAGGCAGCATGACTTGTTGTTTTTCCCAACAGCAAACGCCCTTTTAGATACAGTTCTTATTAATGCCTAATACACGATACACAGTGAGCAGGCACTCACACATCAGCTGACTGATTTTAGTATTTTACCATTTTCAAGTAAAATTGAGGGGAGGGAGGAGAATGAAGGCAAACGGGATAAGCTTCTTACACTGTATGTGAGATTCTGTACTACACTGAAGATAGTGTGCTACATGACAACCAGGATGTTTTGTTTGCTGTGCTTGGCCTGGGATTTGCAGTTTGCTGTTAGGTTACCATGGTAACTTGCATCTAACAGACACTGAAGCATCCTACCTTTTAAAATAGGAATCACTGTGTAAAGTAATGAGACTGGATTTTTGAAAAACACATATGAACATCCTGAGAGTTAGATACAGGTCAAAATAGTAAAACTGTTTCCAATAGACTAAAAAGGCATATAAACAGATGCAAGGAAAAATATTTTTAAATATTCTGGAATACACAAAAAAGGGAAAAAAAGCTCCTCTACGGTTTTCAATATACCCACAAAGCTCTTCATAGTTTTTAATGTTTGTTTATTTACAATTAAAAAATCAGAATTAAGGAACATATCATTCCTCCCTTACAGGAAGCAAACTCCACCAGAGCACAAACAGTAACAAATATGCAGACTATCAATAAAAAATAAGTTCAAGAGGAAAAATCAATAACCAAGGGTTCATTACAACAGGTATGTGCATAAGAAATCTGATAGAGATCAAACGCATTTTAACAGGCTTATAAATTTCTAAATTTTAAATTTTACTCTATCTAATAATTCATACTTCCCATTAATATCAAAGTAGGGACTAACAGTAGTTGAGAACAGACATAACAGAATTGGAATTACCCGCAGAAAATAGTGATAAAAAAAGGCAAATTGCTGCTACTTCTGAATCTGCCGTGGACTGCATTTACCTCATTCCCAATTCCTTTCCTCCCACCATCACAGACGTTTTCATTCTACATTAAACAACCTCATTTTCACTGTATTCACTCAATTAAGTGCACTGCTTGGAATATATCACGAAATCAAATGAGATGTGATATATGATAAATAATATAAATATTTAAGTGAAAAAATTCCTAACTCCATCCATCAAACAATTCCAGATCAGTAAAACTGGGAAGCACTAAGCATAGCATTTCAGACAATAAAATTTGAACACAAAGATTTGTGTTTTCAAAACATCCCTGTGACCTCAATCTAGAGGACAGACGAAACACAGGGAGTGAAAAGACGGGCAAAAGAGACCAGTCTCTAAAGCATGAGTGGTGCTGAACCAAAGCAGTGGCAACACCAGGGATGAAGGGAAGAGAGGAAACCAAAAGACTGAAAGACTGGGTGAAGTGGGTGAGCGGAATTAACATTTGTTGAGTACTTACTGTATGCTTAGCTCTTGAGATAAACACTTTATTTCCTTTAATCCTCAACATCCTTATGAGATAAGTAATGGCCTTATCTTACAAAAGGGGATATTGAGGCTCAAGTGAAAGACATCTGCCCAGGCGTATGAAGCTGTAATTTAGCAGAGCCCAGATTCAAACCCAGGTTTGTCAAAACCCAAAGTTGCAGTTCCTCCAGGCACAAATAACTGAGTTTAAATGACAGTTTAATTGTTTATAGGCAGTGAAATTGACTAGTAATCTACTCATCTTCTTGTCTATCCTTTATTAATGTATAAAACTACAAAAAGGATTCTATTGTGATGTGTCCCTCCAATATTACTATTCCAGCCAATTAAAACTTTGGGCTCACATTATAAAATTTCATGTTGTGTTTAATTTTCAGAAACAATCTTCACACAATGTTAAATGCCATAAGTAGTCAAAGCAGCTTTAGCAAGGAAAGAGGATAAAGCATTTATTTTGTTTGAAAACACTGAGTGTGAAGTACTCCTAGGATATTGAGATGGAGAGGCCAATAGGCGGTAAACTATACTCTGCAGTAGAGGTGGATGTGGGAATGGAGCTAAGAAAGCTACAGAAATCATCTGAAGTTGGTCACTAGGGAAAGCATGTTGAGTGAGAAAAGATTTATCTAGTGAATCAAAGAAGTTAACATTAATATAAGTGACTACACTTGACCCTCACCTGGAGTCATACAGACTTAAGAGTGTGGGGGGTACATATAACTGTGACATTTAATTATGCCTTAAATATAATGCATACTATTATGGTAAAATTTTGAGTTACTTGGTTATTAATTCCTGAATGTAACCCAGATACAGCTTGGATTAATTTTCCTAACTTAGGTCTAAAAGTGATAGTCAAGATTTAGGTAGGTTTTATACAAAATTCTACATCCAAGCACTCAGTAAAATACATTCAGTAAAATAAACCTCTGAGGAATAACACCTGTTTTTCACTGTAACAACTTTAATATGCTATTTGTACTTACTTTTTCCCAGGCTCAATACTAAATGCTTTATACTAATTAGAGATAGATATAGAGAAAGAACTCTGTCTCTCCCCTCCCCCAACACATTTAAGAATCCTGTAAGTTAGGTACCACGTTGTTATGGTCTCCAATTACAGAAAAAGAACCGGAAACCTAAGAGGTGGTATCAGCTTGCCCAGAGTCACACAACACTGGTTCTGTCTGACACAAAATCGTTTTGTATGCAACACTCTAGTGATCTCCAAACTTTTTTGTACTTACACCAATTCAAGAAATTTTAAGTATACATTCCAACATAAAATTATTGCCCTGAATATTTCACACAGAAACAGAATGAGATAAAATAAATCTAAGGAGAAGTTCTAATATGCTCCCTCCCCACCCACACGCCCATGGAACAATCTGCAGGCCACTGCACACGCTATTGAAGGTTTTAAAAGACTCCACAGCAGCCGTCTAAAGGTCAGGGAATTTGAACTTTTCTTCTTTTGAATATACCACAATAACTTGTTTTTAAAATACTCGCTTTTAATCTCCTACTCATGAAATATGCAGAGTAATAAGCCCTCACATAAGCTCTGTTGCTCCTTCTACGAATCATCACAGTATTCTCTCAAGCCCGATACGTCCCAGAGCCCTTTCTCCACCCTTGAGTCCTGGGTTCCGTAATTCCCAGTCGGAATTCTTCTCCAATTCATTTCCACAAGAAAACAGGAAGAAGAAATGCCATCATAAAACCTCCGAACATCACAATTTAATTTCCCGAGATAATACAGTTTGCGTTTTCATGAAACTGAAATGTGACAACAAATCTAATTTCAGTGATATTTGCATATACCTCTTAAACATACTTAAGTTGCTGCTTGTGAGATTTCACCAGATTCATGAGAAGACCCCAATTCCCGAACCCAACCTCACTCCCTTACCCCTAGCTTCTTCAAGCTACTCTTCAAACCAAAGGCCCCTGGGGCCGGGCGCCGGGTCGCACCGCCAGAGCTGAGATTTGCAAGGCTCCCCGCAGGGCCGCCCGAGGGAGGGGCCCAGGGCAGACGGGCAAGTTTCCCGCGGCTGAGGGGACCTGTGCAGCCCGCGGAGAGGGCGCGAAGATCCCCGCCGGCCGGCCCGCCTGGGCCCGCAGGGAACAGCCTAGACACTGCCACAGCTCCGGTGACGGGCCGCCACCTGGTGGGCTGGGGTCTCCAGTTAAAAGGGCAGAGACAGGGGGACGGATCCGGAGCAAGGGAGAGCGACAGCGCGCGCCCTCACCCTACCTCGAACAAGTCGAAGTGTCCCAAAGGAACCCGATCGGCGGGGCTGTCGCGGTGCAAGCGGACGCTAAGGCCACCCTGGGGGCGTCTCGGCCTGAGCCGGCCGCCGTTGGCCCCCGCCGGGAAGCGCGCGCCAGCTGCAGGAGAAGGCAGGAGCCCGGCCTCCCCGGCGCCCACCGCGGGACGCTCCGCGCCTGCGCCCCGCCCCCACCCCGCCCGCCGGGAATCCGCCCGCGCGTGCGCGGTTCGGAGTTTTCGCGCCACTGGCGTCTAAGAGGAGGGGCCGGAAGCACCGCTGGGCGGACGGGGAAAACGAGTGGGTACCGAGAGCTCGGCGCCGGCGGTGTGGGGCGGGAAGGCGGATGATTTGCCTAAGTGAAAGGGCAGATAACCCGGAGGCCCCGGCAACAGTTCCACGCATGCGTACAGCGGGTCGGCTGGGAGCCGGGATGGCCGTGTCTGCGGCCCCGGCGGGGGACAGGGGACAGTCACTTCCCGGAAGAGGCAGGGCCGTGTGGGAGAAGGCGCCGAATTCGAAGTGCTCCCAGGACCTTTCCGGGTCAGGGTGTTAATCCCTAAACGCCAGTCTTTGGGAAAGCAAAGAGGAAGTTTTCTTCTCCTTTTTTTGTTTTAAGAAGAGAAAATTCAGGAACTTGGAGGCAGCAATAGTTAGCACTCAGGCCCAATTGGTAAATGACGGAGGGGCGTCTTCCAAAACCAAGGAGAGAGGGTTGTCCCGGTAAGTCCCGCGGAACGCCGGGGACCCGCCGCCGCCCCGGTCCTTCCCCCGATGCCTTTGAAATCTGCGTTGGGGCGAGCTCTGCGTTCGCGTCCCGTGCCGCCCGCCTCCTCCCGACGCCGGCCGCAGCACCCCTGTGAGTGCGGGGACACGGCGCTCGAGCGGCGGGGCCGCCAGCCGGCCGCCTCCCCGGCCCTGCCCT